GCAGACGAATAAAAAATTTCGTGTTCTTTCGACAAACGCAAGGTTCCCCGGGAAGACGCCGACGTCAGGTGGCCCTGTGCGACTGCTTCGTCCTTTTCGACGCCGGCGTCAACGTGGACCGCAACGCGCGTTTTTTGCTCAGTGGCCGCGTAGCCCGCCCGGGCAAACTCCGGAGAGGGTGCACGGCCCAGCTCAGCGCGGCGCGGCCACTTCACGAGCGCGCGCGCTCGGCAGTCGGCCGGCAAAACGTGGCCGTCCACGCCACTACGCCGCAGACGAACTAAGGGGGTAGAAGAACGACATTCGTGCTTTCGCATTCATAACTAAGAAGTGCTTAGGCGTCCTCGGACTTTTTCTAATAGTCGCATATAATAAATATCTTCAGAAAGCAACCAAGCGCGAGAAATGCGATACAAGCACCTACATATAAGGGAGTTTTAGAATAGCGCACGCTAAAGCTTTGCGCACGCAAAGAATAGCGTCGTCGCCACTGCGCATGCTCCGAACGCAAACTAGGTTTTGCGCTTTGCGTACGCAATTTTAGCGTGCGCTATTTCTCGGAAATAGCGTGCGTACGCAAAGAGTCTTTGCGCTTCTTCAAGGAGGATTCGTGATGGCAAGTTGGCTGAAGCCAAGACGAGCAAAGTTAAAAAGTGGCGGCTTCCAGGATTATGTCGGTGGCTAGCTGCTTTGGCGGCGTCGTGAGTGCGACGTCGGCGGCATCCTCGCGACTGCGCTTTTCAATACGGGACGACGTTGTACTCGGTTTGACAATGATCACCGGCAACTTGATGCTTGCGACGCGCGAACATTGCTGGGCGAAGGTACGATGTGCGAAGGTCAGTACGCGAGACCTCTCTTGCCGAGGCGACGCAAGCGGACACGACCGGTCAACCGCTCGCGTCGCATTCTCATGTTTAAACAAATCTAAAATGGTACTCTGGACCAAAAACCTTTTTTTTTTTTTTTTTTTTTTTTTTAAAGTTACAGCATTTCGTGTGTGAAATAAAAATTGTGACTGTATCTTGGTGGCGTCGCAAGCGCGAGATGCTTGGGCTTTTGCGTCGCGACGCAAAAGCCCAAGCATCTCGCGTGCGCTAATACAAGCGCTTAATTTAGCGCTAGCGTGCGCTAAAATTGCGTACGTTATTCTAAAACTCACTATAGTCATTTTCTCATGGCCGCCGTGGTGCCTCACCTAAAGGGGCCCTGGAATGACTTTTTTTACTGTTTTTTTTAAAATTTGCACCGAACCTGAGCGCACTGAACGTAGTAACTTAGTGAACTTTTTATTTTCTCGCAATTTGCTTTATTTTAAAAGGGTTCGACATATTAAAATTACAAAAACAAGCAAAAAATGACCTCCTTCATGACGTCTTTGGTCCTCTGTCCCCCCTTTTCCCGCGCCAGACGATTCCCCTTGCCGCGGTGACTGAGGAATGTGGGAAAAGAGGGGAAGACGGGAAAAGGAGGTGAGGGCGAAGAGAGAAGCTGCCCGGGTACGGGGCAGCTCTCTCTCTTCGGCTGAAGTCTGAACCAAAAACGTCACGATTTCTTCATATGTCGCACGCGTTCGACACCACGAGGCGCCCCCGTAGGAGGAGGAGGTCTCCGCGTCGTCCGGTTAAAATATGACGCACTGATATTTAGTTACTTTCTCCTTGTCCGCTGGGTTACCCGAACCACAAGAGACGTGGAAACTGCAAAAAAGGTACACGCTTAAATAGGATTGCAGGGCCCCTCTAAGTTGACTACTATTCCTGACATTGTTTCCCCTGTAACTTATCTTCAAGGTCTTAATTTCTGCTAGAAAAAAACGTTAAAATTATACAAAAATTTAAACATGCCGATGTCGCGCCAATAACATCCGAATTAGAGGTGTTCCCAACTATCTTGCTAGCTTCCCAGAACGTTCGGTTGATGAAAACTGGTCTCTTTATAAAAGCAAAATGATATTTAATTGGCCGCTGTATTAAAAATAAAGGAGGTTGATAGTAACCCCGGCTCGCCTTAGTTTGATAACTCGCTAAAACGAGTGCGTAACAAAAAGAAGCGAGTGTTCCCTCGCTCAAAATAAACAGGCCATCTCGATCGATGGTCTGCCTATCACTGCGTGGAGGAGTACGTCAATGCTGTTGACAACGCTAAGAATTTTGTGTTTGTTTTTGTATATCACTCTTACACTACTTTTACAAACCAATCTCCATAAATTCTGGAATATTGTTAACGGCACCAAGTGCAGATATATACAAATTTGTAATGCTAAGAATTCCATTGTTCCGCCCAGTCAGTGTTGCACAGTTTGTTAACAACGCCTTTGCATCACTTTTTCAGTACAGTGTACCTCAAATTGTCTTCATTTCTAAAATTTTATATTTTATTAAAGGACCCAACTAGCATTGATTGGGTTGGTGTTAGAGACTCATTAGCAATTTGCCTATTTCCTCATCTGCTGGCCCCGATTTAATAAATTCGAAGATGTTAAAATGTACTGAAGTATATTCATTCATTTTTATATCTGACATTTTTTACCACTCCCTACAGTGCTCTTTTATGCCCAACGATTGGAGGATGGGGAAGGTGGTTCCGGCTCATAAATCAGGAAGCACTCATACATCCGATAACTATCGTCCCATTTTCTAACATGCATTTTCTGAATCATTAGAGCATTTAATAAATGCTCACCTTATTCAATTCCTTGAGACTAATTCGTTACTCAGTACTTGACAGCATGGCTTTAGAAAAAAACCTTTTCTTGCGAAACTCAGCTAGTACCGTTTACTAACGCTGACGAGGGATTCGACACAGCTAGTATCGCTTGCCAACGCTGACCAGGGATTCGACACAGATTTCATCTTTCTTGCCTTTGCTAAAACTTTTAATGCTGTCAGACACGACTTACTAATCCTCAAGCTTAGCCAGCTTCGTATAGATCCGAAGGTGCTTGGATGGATACTCTAACACTTGGGCAGTAACATCCGGAGTGCCGCAAGGCTCTGTGCTAGGACCTTTCCTATTTCTTATTTACATTAATGACCTTCCCGACTGTGTCACTTTTTGTTCAATTAAACTTCTTGCAGATGATTGCGTGCAATATAAAAAAAATACTGATCCGGTTTATTCCCGTAACCTTCAGGATGACCAAAATATTGTGTCCAGTTAATGTGGCAAATAAATGGATTATAACATATCAAACGTAAAAAAATGCCAGATTATGCAAGTTTCCAGCCGCCCTAACCCCAAGAACCGACGTGCATACCTCCTTGATAACTTTGCCCTCTTACCTGTACATTCTTATAAATATTTAGGCCTTTATATTCCCAATAACCTATTATGGAATCCGCATGTTGACTATGGAGCTAACACTGCCAATCGTATGCTTGGCTATCTGCGTCGCAATTTCTCTTCTGTGCCTAGTTCGCTTAAACCCTCTACAAAACCCTTGTCAGATCTAAACTTGAGTACGCGTGCGCAGTATGGGACCCCCATTTAACACTTGATCTTACCCGTACGAAGCTATTCAGAGTCGTGCGGCTTGTTTTATTTTATCAAATTACTCTTGACATGCTGGAATTACAGCTATGAAACCAACCCTTCATCTGCCTGACGTCTTCTTGCACCGCAAATGTTCCCGCATTTGTTTATTTAATCAAATGTATTATCATAACTGTGTCTCAAAAGAAGCGCTCGTCACTCGACCAGCTTACATCTGACCGTGGTCAAAAAGTGGGCATTCCATCGTTTTCTACTAACATGTAATAAAATTCCTTCATTCCCAGAACGAGCCTTGACTGGAGACACCCCCACACCCGTCATCGCCATGTTGAACGCTACAAAATTAAATGACGCCGGATATAAAGCCATTTGTTAACATTATATTATTATTCGCTGCAAATATAAAATCATCTCTCCTTTCTGTAATTCCCTTGGGCCCTGGAAGTATTTAAAATAAAATGAAATAAAAAAAGAGTAGATTTTTTTTTTGTGCGTAAGCTGCTCTATTAGCACGGGGAGCCGGATTCCACAGTCCAGATTGTAAAGTCACCCGAAGCCAATAATGGGTTGTACAAATACTGTTGGACTGCCACTTATTCAGCTATAGTTCTCTTTCAGTGCTTCCAGTACCTTCCAGTGGGCTCCCAAGGATTAGCCAATCATTGCCTGCCTCGGCCAGGACGAAGTCCCATGTACTTTGGTTTTCAACCCAAAGTGATAAGAAAGCTTTGTTGTGATTGTGTTTTTTCCTGTACACTTACAGCGAGTTCCGTGAACTGTAATTTCACCACTCCGTAGCGAATTCATACTATAGTTAGTTCATTGCTTTTGCCAATTTGTAATACACTACGGCATCAATCCCTTTGGTGAAATATGAGACATGCCTCTGTTATGTAACGACTCAGCTTGATTTTGACTTCGTATGAATAGTTTTGCCAATGCAACCGCACAGTAAAGGCAGATATTAGTGCCAGAGTTTTTTTACATGCATGTATTATTACAGTTGATTAAATAGACACTGGAGGCCGTCAGGGTCAAACTGGCGTTCTGGCTTCTCGTTGATTTGTTTTACAAAATACAAAATTAAGCACAAGAAAACCAGCAGTCGATTAAACGAAAAGTTTGGCTGATCATCTGAAAGATGGAAGAAGTGACGTTCCAGTTGAACTCCGCGCAGGAGTCTACTGAGCTTAGAGGATAATGACACTGGGTCGTTGGAAAGTACGCGTTCGCTACGCCAGCGGCGACCGATTGCGACCAAGGGTAGTGAGCTGTTTATCCCTTAGCCGTAATATCGCGCTTAAAAAACAGGCACCATCTGGTGCGCCACCGAAATGGAGGACCAAGAGCAGAAAACACATGGACACAATCCGGTCAGGAACATTGCAGGCTTTCAGAGTTGTCCCTCCTACCTGAACGCAAGCCGAAGCTGAATCCATATCTTGTATCTGCGGACAGGCACCTTTGATAGCCGACACCACGGATCAATACTAATACAAGGCACACAGGGGTTGTGACTCTTTTATTTCTTAACGCAAGCGACGACAACACTGCATTCGTTTTATTCATACCGCCTTTGTCATTAAAAGAAAGAAGAACGCACAAAAGCGAGCTTACACCAAATGACTTCCTATAATTTTTGCTCTCGTAAAAACGTATGCGGTCAGTCTTCCTTGCACGAAGCGCACCGCGGCATAGTTAAACAAGAAGCAGATAGAGGTCAACAATCAATAGACAATCAGAAGAACCGCACAGAACAGAGATGTGTATTTGTGTGTATAGAATATATATTTATATATATATATTGAGAAGCGTGTTCGCGGCTTTCAAACATTCAAGTTTACAGGATTTTAAACATTAAATGACTTACCATAGACAAAATATAAAATGAAAAAGGGAAAACTTTTTTTCATAAAGCGGCTTGTGAGCCTCAAAGTTGACAATGACCAAAAATGACGTTGCGAGTACCATGGTCCCTAAAACGTTTTTTGTTGCTGCTGTTTTGTTGTCTCTTTACACGCCTGTTTTGGTAATAGAAAAATGCTTGCGTCCTTCGATATTGTATATACACTCCAGACAGAACTACACTCAGTCCTGTCCATTCATCGCTGGCCGAACAACCGGAAATTTCCAGAAGCTATACAAAAGCACCATTCTCGAAACACGAGTTCTACCGTCACAAAAAGAAAGAAAAAAAAAATAAACAAAAAAAAAGAAAACAATCCCCCATATTTGCTCATGTCGCGATTCGACGGCATACCTCAAAATAAGACGACGTTGCTCCAAGTATGTTCGACCAGAAGATTTAGAAACTAGGTATATACAGGCTAGCATGTTATATTTACAGCCCGAGCAACATCTCTGTCTCTCCCTATATATGTATATATTTATATCGGATGCTCCGCTATGCAACCGGAAATCCGGAGCGCTCTCTGCTCGATCACAGCCATTACTCGATTCCGGCGTATTGTCCCGTGCCAAAAATAGAATTCACGGCGTGTGCTAAAGGAACACCAGTGACGTGCTCCGTGCTGTTCCTCCGAAGCCGAGGCGCTGAGTTGCTGTGAGAGCCAGCACCGCAAGGTGAGTCGTATACCGTCGTGCCACCAACCCTGCCTCATCCTTGCTGCAAGTTTGCAAACATACGCTCGCCAAAACCCTTGTGAAGAGCGTTGGGATAGACTCGCGAGTTCCACGCAACGGGGGTGAGGTGAACCCGGCGAGCGCTCCCTTCTAGGAATGGCGAAACTCGCATTCTAAGCGCTCCAGCATTTGTGTGGGCACTGCAGAGCATCGTGCAGTGCGGCGTATCGTTTACCGAAATATAGATTATATGTCTGGCGTCCGTATGCGTTTTGTGATTAAGTGTTTTGCTCGAGAGACGCTGTATATATGTACAGGATAGCGCCACACAGTCGTTGCTTTAGCAACTGTGGTAACCGCGGCTACAACAATGCGTTCCCCCGGAGAGTACGTTAAGCGAAATCAAAGGGGAAAGTTGCTTCGTTGAATGGTGGAATGGTTGCGCGCATTTCACAAGCGACGCTCGAATCAACAAAAGATACAGAAAAAGTAAAAAAAAAAAAAAGTCGGACTTCGGAACGTTGGCTTTGCGACAGAACAAAAGCTTCTGGTACTACCATCTATTACGACCATTCTTTGTGACTATTTTGGCACTTTGGATACATAAAATAGAAACTCTGTCCGGATAACGTTTAAACGCTATCACTTCGCAGCGAATGCGACGTCAACAACATCATCATCATCAACAACAAAAACGTAAACGTGAAAACTGACTGACTCGTTCACCGTTGGTCACACACTAAATGCAGCATCGAAGGGCTGCGGAGAGCAGCAAACACAAGACGAAAAAGAAATCAATATGTGTTCGCAATTTACATTTTCTACATGAAGTTACTCCAAAGCATAAAACGGTGGGTCTCATTGTTCCACACGCAAGCGAACTATGGCACAGTCACGTGGTATTCCACGCAAGCTACCCCTAAAAAGCAACTTCGAGTGCACGTGCTAAAGAAAGTCCACCAAAAATAAAAATAAGACAAAACGAAATAAAGCAGAAAACATCACATTTCTCTTCTCTAGGTGCAATCCTGCGACACTGAGCGAATGTTCAAAGCCCACAATCCACTATAGTGATTGCAATTATGCTCTTCTACTTTCCGGATCGGCGTTTGTTTCTCAAGAGCATTCCCACCCTAAAGCGGAGGCATGCGGTTTAGAGAAGCTCGTTTTAGCGAACGCCATTTTACCGACCCCTGTTTATCGAATTCCTTTATAGAGATCCCAGTTTAGAAAAAAATTGCGATGAGCCTCCTTTTAGCGAATTCGGCCGCCGCGAACCGGCGTGTACGGGTAAATCAGGTGAGTTACCATTCTTTGTAATGAGCCGCCGCAGAATGCCGCCGCAAAGCGGCGGGAGCGCAGCGGGGGGCCTGGGTTAACACGCGCACCAGTGATATACGCGAGAAGTAGGAAAGCCTTTTTTTAAAAAGCGTCCCCTTTTCGATAAACGGCGTTTCTCTGAACTGAGGTTCTGCTTTCTCTAAACGTGCTTCAATAAAATGTGCCCATTTTCTAAAACGTGCTTCGATGAAATGGCATTCGATCAACCGTAGTAAACCCTCCGTAAAGTAGTTTGTTACAGAAAAAAGAAAACTAGTAAGATCCCCTTCGAGTAACATTTTTCTTAGTTTCGCATGTTATTCGTGCATTTCTCGATAGGAACGTGCGAGTCTGGCTATCAAACAGACGCGAGCGCGCCAAAGTTGACCCATGCACAATAAACGTAACGCACAATTCAACACAGCACGACACTTCACAAGCCCCTCCGCATCTCCCAGTGCTTACAAGCAGTAAAGTGGAACACCTAATCCGACAGCACAAATCATTCAAGTGCGAAAAACGAGCATCGATCAATACACCATCACATACAAGCTTGACCAAGAAAAGGCAGCCTTCGCAGAAGCAAACAAGAATCGTCAATCAATCACTCTACCAATAAATCACGCAGCCAGTCAATCAATCAATCAATCAAATCACAAAACAAACTGTCACGCTGAAGTCATTTCCTCCTTGTAGTTCCTTTGTTCGTGGCATTCAAGCCAGGCCAGTTACGGATGGAGCCAGGCTACTTAAGCCTAAGTATGTTCCTCGGTTAGGCCTAATGGACCAATCATCCGTCCACAGCACCGATTTCACTGCACGTTCGCCGCTGAAGCGGCGGCGGCAGCGAAGGGTTGGAGCACGGGCGACGATAGCGCGTCGTGCTCGGAGGCAGCCGCGTCCCCGGATCGGTTTCGAAGAAGCGTCTGGGTTACTTGGAGGTGCTTGCGGATGTACGTGGCGTTGGGGTCCAGGGTGGTGGCATGCTTGAAACACCTCTCGGCTCGACTTAGTTCCCCGCGTTCAACGTACACGACGCACAGGTTGTGCGAGCCTTGCACATGGCCCGGATCTAGCGCCAAGATCTTGCGGTAGCACTGCGTAAGAAACGAGGGAAGGCAGGAACCACTCGGTTATATGTGGGCGACACCGACAGTCAACCAACTTGTCTGTATGTTGGTCATTGGCTAGGATCGCTGACTTCCCGGTCAGAGGACGTTCGGCAGACGAATTTTCGTTTGTACACACTCGTATAAGAGAAACTTATAAATAGCCAAATACGCTAAAAAAAAAAAAAAAAAGTACACGGTTAGAAAACAATTTGATACGCTGCTCGGAACAAAGCCATACTGCGAAGTTTTACGTGTTGCTGACTCAGATGAAAACTCTGAGAGAATTAATTGTAAATTTTCAATTATGTTTGCTTCGAAGGCACTCATTCCACTTTGACTCCGAAGTGATGTCATTGTGACTAAAATTTAATTTCCTATCCAATTTAATTTCTTATCCTTCAGGCGAATCAGAAATCGTAGTTTCAGTTTTATATGTTGCAGGAAATAGGTCTTGCCTGGCGAGAAATTCCTCGACTACAGTCGAAAAATTTCCGCCCAGGTATACCTGGGCGGAAATGGGTCGCTCGAACCAACCTTTAGTCCCAACGACATCACTGCCCTACGGTTCCTTTTTTGTTCTATACAAGTTAAATAAATGTGTGCCCGGGCACTTCGCGTGACAAATAATTTAATATAATACAATTTTGATGAAGCTCTAAAATAGAAAGAGAGGCAATTTTATTCCGTCGGAATTAGCCCCTTTATTTCACAAATGTCCCGCGCGTCTCTTTTCCCGCAAAAAAAAAAAAAAAAAAAAAATATATATATATATATATATATATATATATTTGTTGCGTTTATTTTTGCAAGGAGCTCAGCCTATGACAAAGCCAGAAAAAAAAAGTTTCGGCTTTAAAATATTGAATTGCGCGGTGGCACTGATCCTGACGTGAACACATGTGAAAGGTTTACTCAGTATGGCAGCTCACTTCAATTTTTAGTTTATTTGTCGAGCGTTTTTAGCGTAGATTGGAGGCGTTTGCCTTCCGAGTTCACCAGGTGTGCTCGAGACTAGCTCCCATTTTTTTTGTCAGCTAAGAACGAGGATCCTGCCTGGGCGGAATGTCCGATGGACGTGCATAATCATGCATTTCCCCCAATGAAGATATTCCTTCTTGGCATGCAGGTGATAAATGGGAGCTGGCTCTGAGCATGCTCTGCGAACAGCGACCATCAGCAAGTTTAAAGGGGATTCGTTAAAAAAAAAGTGACTGTTCTTTAGAATTGTATGTGTCTCATGTTTAGGTAGATAGCTTACCGAGTGCCGCTTTTGTTTCCCGCGTACTGCATGCATGCAGCTACTTATTTATTTATTTATTTATTTATTTATTGTACATACCCTCAAGCGCCGAAGCATTGTAGAGGGGAGGGGCAAAGCAAAATAAAACAAACTGACAAAACAATAAAAAACAAACAACAAGAAATTGAAATATCAAAAACACACAGCCATTGGCAAAAGCGGCAAGCAATATATTTTACGGAAAAAAATAAACAAAATAAAATGACTCATGTTGGCTCATCAAACAGAAATGTAGACAAAGATTGGCGAAAAAGAGAATAATCAGGTATAGTTGCGATATCTGCTGGAAGGTGGTTCCAGTCGTTTGATGTATGCGGGATAAATGAATAAAAAAAAGTGTTTGTTTGGCAACGTGTTAATCCAACTTTATTCCGATGGTCCAGACGGGAAGAGTAATAGCTAGGCAATGTAAAGAAATGGTCTCGCAGCGACTGATGATGATACACTTTATGAAACAGGCAAAGTCGAAAAAACTTTCTGCGCAATGACAAAGAGGGTAACAATAAACTGGATTTCATTGATGATATGCTAGCTGTTCGATTATAATTAGACAGAATGAAACAGAGACAGAATCGGCACCTTTCGAGACTCCGCGTATTCGTTCTCTTTCCGCACACTCGGCCACCTTTGCAGACGTTTCCACCAAGCACAAGTGTGCAAGCCAAGCATAGGCGGACGTGTGTACGCACATTCCGGAGTCGGTGCTGGTACGCGAACGTTAGCGTACTTCTGGGTGTTTCGTGCCGTCGCCATGACAGTCAACGGCTCCAAACTTAATCCCAACGGGCTTTTCAGCACGACGTAGTCAGTAGCTTAGATATACGTAGAGCCCGAAAGAAGGAGAGGTTCCTACGAATATGCACGCGAAAGAGCTATAGGTCTGAGCCCGAGACAAGCAGAGGTTCCTGATGGCGCGCGGACAAGCGGAGAAGACAGCCGGGCCCTTGCGGACAAGCGCACACAGCGTGAATTGAAGCAACGGCGCAGGGGCTTCTTAGGGGCCGAACCCCTTCGTCTATTCTTCCGGTGCAAGTTGTTCGAGATGAGCTTGTTCCGGGCTTTGGCTCGTTTGATTGGACGCCTCGCTCTGCAGACGCCCGAGATCCCCGAGTCGCGTGTCCCTCAGTCCACGCAGAATTAGGAGCAGCATTCCGAGCCGCTAATCCGCCCAACTCACCTCTTCCGCTGCCTCGAGATCCTTGAGGTGATTGACGTTGATGTCGCCGAGCAGCACTAAGCCCTTGATGTGGTTCGGGTGGTACTGAACGAGAAAATAAGAAAGAGAGAGATCGCCTTGTTTGCGGAGGCGTCCGGCACAGAGCACGCTGTCTGAGACGACGTAGGCTCGCGGCTCGCAAACACTCCCGAACACGCTCTCGCGCGCCGAGACGGAAACGAGAGCGCTCAAGATCCCGTGGATTCACCCCGAAAGGCTGTGCGCCGTGAGGCCGAATGGGGAGAGTTCTCAAGCGTCGGACTTAGTCCGTTAGCCTGTGTCCCGTGGCATTATAGGCTTAGCACATATGTTAGAGTTATAGAGTATGCCACGCAGCGACACGTGATCCAACCATCAGTGTTTCAGTGTAGCCGCCTATAACGCATAGGTGCTTCACGCTGCGTATGCGCGTCGTCGCCATAGACCCGTTGCTCTCGGGCAGGGGGCGCGAGCGCGTCCGCAAGACGCGACCGTGTTATGCTGGCAGCACCATCCAGGCGGCACTATAACGTTCGATTTTGCACGTGCGACGTTCGAATGCGAGCATCTGTCAGCATCCGTAGACGCGCGATAAAAAAACCTCTAAAAAAAAAAAGAATTATGCAGCTCGCGGACTCAGCGTTCAGTTCAGCTTTATTACTTTATTGCATTCTTTCATGGCTTCCGGGAGTTTGTATATTTCATTTTACGTGATAGCGACGCTGAAGCTACTTGCAAGAACATGTTCCCCTGAACGATGCTCGCATTGCACGAGCGCGCGTGCTTCCTTTGAAGGGACACTGCAAGCTCGGCCCTCGCTCCTGTAGCGTCTGCTACACTGCAGCACTTAGAATGGAACGGAGTATAAAAAAGTGTAGTGGGGAAGCGTGATGACGCACGTTCGAAACGCGAGCCAAATATTCTATTTTTCTCGCCTGGAGCGCTGCTCAAAACTTGAGAGCTACGGGCCTATTCGCCAGTCCAAGACTCAGTTTGGGCTACGCGCACGCGCAGTGTGGAACACGCAAGCGCACAGAGCTTACGTTCGCTCGTATACGGAATACTAAAACTCGCGCATTTTAGCATACGTACGCAGAGGCCGTCTGCGTGCCCATCTCGTTGCTCTCGCGGCACGCGAGACAGCGTGAGACTTCCCCATATTCAAAAAAGCGAATCACACCTGGAACTGCTACCCGTGTACTTATTAATCTAAAAAAAAAAAAAAAAACAGACAAAGCACGTACACAGCCGGCACCCGAAAGTAAGTGATCGAAGTTTGGGTCGTAATGGGATTCGCGGCATCGAATTGGCTTGACCAAATACCGCCCTTCGAATGCTTGGAGCAGTTTGCACGGGCATATCAAGGTGGCGCTGCCACTGCTTGCGGAGGCACTTGCGTTCCGCTGTACTAAAAGTGTTGGTTTGACGTGCTCCGCAGAATTCCGCTCAGAGCTTGCGTGCGTCGTACGCTGTGATACTGCGAGGGTCTTTACGCCATTCTAAAACTCTCTATTATCATTACGTTTGAAATTCTGGATTTTGAATCAGACGCTGCTTTCTTTCCGTGCCGGCAATCGAAATGGCCGTTACCTTACTACACTACGGCACCGTTATCGCACTGCGAGATCGGAGTTGAGGAAAATGTTTTTGGTACTGGTCCAGAAAATAAGAAAGAGAGAGATAGCCTTATTTGCGGAGGCGTCCGGCACAGAGCACGCTGTCATGACGTCATGTCAAACTTTCAATCGAAATTTGTGGACTTTTCACTGGGTGGGGCATGGTCCGGAAAATACGACAATACAGAAATAACATAAAAATAAAGTAGGCTTAGGAGCACACGAATGGTTGTACGCTCATCAACACGTTGCACCGGACACCACCAAGGACACGATATAAAGGCCCGTGCACTTCGAGTCGTCCACAGCGAAACGTCAGAGCACTTGGCGTGACGTCATATCAACGCTATGCACTGATTGAACCATAGCGTCCAGAGAGGAATCGCCGCCCAACGACTGCTCCGGCACCGGTCAAAGCCAACGCCTTCTAGGTGGCAAGGTCGTAGTGGTAGATGTTTCCTCGTCACTTGCAAGAGGCCGGCGCGGTATACAGATTGAACATAAACGCTGCTTCAGCGCTCGTCTAGAACTCGTGTTGAATCTGTGCCCCTCCTTGGCCTCTTATAGGGGACGTAGAAGACCCATCACTATGGCCTTCTGTATAGGTGTTGTTGGGAAAGCACGCTGACGGTTTGTGGAGGTGAGTAAAAGTATGCAGGCCACATTGTGTTACCTACGTGGTGCAGGCATAGCACGGACAACACATTTTGCGCCTTGCTAAAGCTTTCTACACAACTAACAATCAATTTGATACTCTCTTTCACACCATTCAAGGGATGCTGGACCGACATTTGGAGCTCATATAACAAGGCTCGAGCGATAGGGGGACGCTGCAAAACCCCAAAACAGCATTGATAGAGCGATTTCTCTAACGGTTGGCTGCATTTTTGGAAAAGAAGTGCGCGATTGAACACGACGGGCGAGTCCGACGAGACGTGTCACGTCACGACGCTCATTCGCCCTCCTCTTCGCTTCGTCCCCTTGAGCAGGTAAACCGAGGTGAAGAGGAGAGAAGCAAGGCCGCTTCCCGTCATTCTCAACTGTTCCAGGAAGATCGTGACGTCATAGTCCTCGCTTAATCGCGCCTTTTTTCTTTTTTTTTTTTCTACAAAAAATACAGCTATTCGTTTGAGTTATTGATGGATGAGCGATGTTTTGGAGTTTGTAGCGCCGCGTTCAACACTTTTTTGGCCTTATTTTGCGAAATCCAAATTTCGGTCCAGCATCCTTCTAACACTGTGAGAGAATAAAAAGTTTCAAGTTTTGGCGCGTTTTAAAGAATAGTTTCAGAGAGAATGCTGGCTCGAATATGCATGAGACTATGATTCACAACGCCAACAAAGAAAGTGTTGAAATCTGTTCTCAGCACTAGCTCTTTTCGAGCTCCACGCGTTTAAATCGAATTTTACGATCCATACACAAAAATAGGCATCCTTTAAAACTTATTTTAAATTCATCCGGCTGCGTTAATAGATCGTTATTCTTCCTCTAGGTCGCTGCACTCTTTAGTTGTACTTCCTTAAGATTTATATTTTATTTATGGTACGCGAAGAATATTAGCGTGCGCATGGAATGCTACATCATGCAACACCGCAGCTCTAAAAAAGCAGACGAGGAAGGCGGGGACGGAAAAAGAAAGATGGGGAAGCCTTATAAATGGCCATAAGGAAAGTAGCGCGAGTGAATAATACCAACTCTAGTATCAAGCCAGTAGCTAGATGTTCTGCCCGTCACAGCATGCAGTCGTCTCGCGATGGGAGACGAGTAGGAAGTCAATTTGCTTGTCGTATTCGTTTTTTTTCCCCTTTTTCTTTCTCTTTTTTTCTCGCTCGGCGTGAGATGCCACAAATCAGCCGCAGTTCCACAATGACCGAACACAAAGAGGGAGCGAAAATGACTGATGAGGGCCCCAAAATCCCGCCAGTTGAGAAACGGGGAGCTTTTGAAAAGATCCCGAAAATTTTCACGTCTGCCTCTGATAAATGAAATCTTGAATTGTAGGCAGCGCACTAAAAAGAAGCGGAAGGAAAGGGATAAAATAACCAAGCCCGCGAGCAAGGCCTCCACGCGCCATTTCGGAAGTTTCCCATGCGCGGCCTCGGGCAGAATGCGTGGAGGAAAGGAAGGGGGGGGGGGGGGGGGGGGGCTGTCATTTCGAAGACGGTCGAATTTAACCTGACAGATGAAGCGACAGTGTACCGGACGGAAAGCCCCGTTAGTCGTATTCGCGACTCCAACTGTCTATAGGTGGCGCCACTCGTTTTTCTAAATGGCGGTTATAGTGAGGGTCGGATATGCGTGCTGGGAATGGAGGTTGCTGAGCCCTGGCTGGCTTCACTGAGGGACACAAATTATTCCCGCTTATACGAGGAAGCTAGGCTGTTATGACCGCAGGTCACCTCTTTATATTTAAAAAAAAGAAACGGTGTTTAGCCGGGAGGCGCGTTTTAATTCCGGAACGCAACCGAAACCAACTTCTATTTTGGATTTAATTTTCTGTCCTAACTTTATTTCGTGACAAACATGTACAATCTAGGAAAAATATTTCGGAAAGTTCAGTGTTCCTTTATGCTGCTTATGCGGCTTATGGTGTACCGGGTCTTGCGTACACCACACAAAAGACGGGCTGCAAACTCGAGCCACCGCAACATCCGTGATTCGAATTCGCGTGCCAAGTCTCTCCTTATTCAAGTGTCTTCATGCGGCATTCGAAGCACGGATCTCGCGGTGACTCGCCTTCGAATCTGTATGCTGACTGTCTTTTGTATGATGTAAAAACAGTGTGACCCCGGCTTTACAGGTAATGAAATATTGTATTTGTTGAAAATATCTGCGCTGACATTTGTGTGTTCTTGCTCCCTTTTCTCATTCAAATAATCGTAATGTGAAATATTGACTTATGGGTTTTGGGGCATTTAGTCTATTAATTGCTTTAGCATTATTCCTAACACAATAAAAGTAGAATCAATCAAAATATTACAAAATATCTCCACGGGTGATGAGTTTAGAGCATATTCACAAAAAATATAAATTAAGGCACGCTGTCCTCACTACAAAAACTCAAAAACAAAATCCGAGTGAGACAACAAAATTGTGTTTTTTTAAGGCAACGCGTGACGCATAGGACTTTATATTACATCCAGTATTTATGTCTATCTTGACAACGACGTCAATGTTTCTCATGTGCTAAGAACGAAATAAAATGAGACCCATGTAAAAACTGTTATGGTTAAATAGCGTATATTTGTGATTGGGGCGTTTATTGGGGGCCTACATTACGGCAATCTGTGAAAAATAATACCATTAAGATATCTTAACAAATAGTGTTTCAAACTCTAATTTAATTTGTTGCTCACGATCTAATCTCAAACGCGCCAAATTTGACAATCCAAAGTTGGAAAACTATCACCACTGGTGCTAACTGAAGCATTCCTAATTAACAAGGTATAACATAAAAATATTCTAAAATCAATTAAATCATTATAGCTGCTCTGAGAAATCCACGTAAAATTACATTAATTGTGCATAAAGCATATGGTGATATCAAAGTCGCGACTTTATATAATTCGCCTTCCGAACCAAATGCCCCGAGATACTAAACAACAAATTCCGTAGTTGTTATCATTACAAAACTACACAGAACATTTATTTTCCATTATTTGTACGAGCTGCCGTTTTGCCAATCTCAGCCTTTCCAGTTCGAACGAGCGCTTAGCCGCTTGCAAGTCTGCTCACAGCAGTACATTTCGTTGGTGTTGGAAACCCGATGAAACAGTAGTGAGTTTTAGTATTGAGTATACGAGCGAACGCAAGCACGTTGTGTTTGCGTTAGCGTTGCGTGTTCCACACTGTGCGTGCGCGGAGCCCAGAATTGCGGTCTTGAAATGGCGCATAGCAACAGCGCGCATGTGCATCGTGGAGCACGCAACTTTAACGCAAACGCACAGCACTTGCGTTTGCTTTTATACGCAGTACTAAAGCTTTCTAGTAAGGTAGAATCACATGACGGCTGCAGCACTACATTGCGACAGTGAAGAGTGTTGTTTGCATTCAGAAATGACCGTTCGCGAGCCATGATCGAGAGTTGTTCCGCCGTGCCCGCTGAGCAGGAGAATCGGGGGACCCTCACTAAAGCGCTTCCCGTTTCCGCCGCGAGAGGGAGAGCAACGAGCTGGAGACACGAATGGACCAACACGCGGTTCTGACGTCACGCCGCTGCGGTGGCGCTGCTGCCGGCACGGCGCATGGGCAGGCAGCTTACCTCAGGCGAATCTAGTCCTGGTGTGGACAAACTATTTTCGAACATCAAAGATGTTTGAAAATAGTTTATTAGTAGGCCGCGTTTGCAAACATAAACATTTATCGAAGTTGTCAAGCAATTGAAGACCCATGAAGGGATTGACAGTGTTAACATTGCCACTTTCTGCAGGTAATAAGGTAAAAAGAAGGTTTGCGAACACGTCCTAGCAAACGTCTTTTGAATGTATGTTCTATAAGACGACGAACGATGCTTAGACATCGTACAAACATTTAGTGTATTGAACCATGGTTAAAAGCGCTAAAAAGACGTACATAAGATAGAAGTCAAACACAGATGCTACTCACAACTGTATTGGGAAAGGAAGATGGAAGTATATATCTATCTATCTATCTATATATATATATATATGATACAGTTATCGTCACCCAGGCTACACATGCGCGAGATACAAGAGCATAAACCCATTTGCCATATATTTATCGAAAAAACGAATCTCAGTATTATACAATGCTATTGACGTGTCGCTGACGCACTGGGGTCCCCTCTTGATAAAATATGCTTCTTGCAGTTCGCGTGCGCTTTGAATTCTGCTTCTACCGAGAATCTTGGTATCGCCGAAGCGTGCCTCGCATTTGCAGGCTCTACAGTGCCCGGGCAAATGTGCCCCGTCATTTGTCTTTAAATTTTGTGCGTGCTCTCTTAAACGGTCATTCGCCCGTGTTTGTCTTTTATCTTGTGTACGTCTTTTTAGCGCTTTTAACCATGGTTGAATACAGTAAACACCAACTAGCCCAACAGCAAGTTCTTTTACAAACATTTAGTGACGAAACAAGCGACGCAAAGGTTCGTTCTGATTTCGAGACGTTCTTCCTAAGACGCTAAGATAACTTTGGAAAACGTACAAGCTGGTTGCGTAAACTGTGATATTGTTGCTTTCACACTAATGAGGGATAAATCAATTCGAATACTTTTATTTTGCATTTTAATACTCACAAAAATTCCCGATGGCGAGTAATAACTGGGTCGTTACTAGGAATTTAGTCGTTTAACTTTGACACGTTTTTAGAAACGTATATCTAAAAAAAAAAAAAAAAAAAAAAAAACTCACCTTAAGGAGATCTTTGAGGAACATCATGGCCTCCATTGGTCGGTGCTGCTCTGACAGAAGAAGCGCTAAGTTGAAGAGTGCGCTCCGTAACTTTGGTTGAATCTAAAAAGAAAATCAGAAAAAAAAAACAAAAAAAAAAAAACATGTGAGGTGAAGAACAACAACGAAAGGCGTTTAGAACATAAACGATACATCACTGAGGAAACTCTGTATTCCGATTTTTGTTGAATACTTCCACCCGTCGTACAGAGAGTGATGTAGTTATCAGGAACACGAGATATACAGATTTTCTGGTTTTTCTTTTCCACAGAGCTGAAATTGAGTGACCGAAGCTTCTACTCAGTTTGAATGTGCTTATGTGCGGTGCTAAGTAGAAGAGTTTGATATTTTTGACCTTAAACCTGCACGAGTGATATACAATAATGCGCCGATGTGATGTTTGCACTAGATGCGCCTCGCAGTGTACGTGTGCACCTCTGAACCCGCCCGCGTATTATATGTGGACGTGTTAGCACAGGGACACATGATCGCACGCACGTGCACGCTCGCACAAACGCAGTTTCAGAGAAATAGCAGTTTCAGAAAGCCTTTTTTTCAGAGAAAAAAAGGCTCTCTGAAACTGCTATTTTATGCCATTTCTTCAATGTTTCTATTATATTTAAAAGTCGTCTGAGTGGGGTGGGGAAGTTGTTCAACAAACGAATAAAAGAATTAGAGCCGTTCGTGGTCGTTACGCCCCGGTTTGTCGGACTTACCAGGACGGCCTTGCGAAGCCAGTTCTCGGCGGCGGCAACGTCCTTCTTGTCAAGAGCGAGCATGGCGAGGTGAAAGTAAGCCCTCTCGTCCCTTTTTCCGCTGTGCACCACCCTCTGCAACCTGTTTGTAACAAAATGAAACACAATGTTTTGTTTGTTTGCCACAAGGCAACGAGAAACCAGAACCACAAGGTAGATAATCTAACAAGGTCTACAGCACAGCTGGAATCAAACTACTTTCTAAAAACTTTGTGAAATAGCACTGGACAACGTAGGCATTGACTTTTTATGTATATAGGAAAGTGTTCAGTTTTTTCAATTTAAAAAGGTAAAAATGACACCTCACCGTTCGTTGGCCATCTTCTTCTGATTTGCCGTGCCGGATTCTTGCAGCAACAGAGCAGAATTTACCAACGCGTGCTGCGAAAAGACAAGACGAAATGTTATCTTAAAAAAAAAATACCGAAAATCGAAGAGGATTTAAGATAATATATGATAATAATACTCTTTATTTCCAGACATACATTTGTCTGAGGGGCTGCGGCAAAAGAAGACAACACGTTTTTTGACGAGGCCATCAGCCCCTTTTTACAGCAGTCAACAGTGTGCAGGACCAGTGTGAGTGTAAATAAAATATACAAAAATAATCAAATTGACATTAGCTCAGCATCGTAAACACAACAATTAACATCAAAGTCATAAATATTTTCAAATCAAAATCATTCCCATCGACATCATTGAGATCACATTCATTAACATACAATATCCGCGAAACGCTTTAATCCAAAAAAAAAACCACTTCTGCACATTCAAACAGTTGAAAAAAAAAATACATAAAAGTCATTGGTACTTTTGTTTTCAGCAATCCAATTATCACTGGACTCAATATTTAGAAAATATTAAAAGCACTAAAAACTCTTTGAAGTCCGTTAGCCACTGGTAAGTGGCATTCGCATTCGCGGAACAAATTGCAAGTTTATGTCACTACGGCTACACATATAGGCTTTTACTATTTTCTTGAACATGAGGATTGTTCGACCTTGGCATGCTATTTCAGCTACATGGGGGTGGTTATTTAGAAGCTCAAATAATTGGTAGTTAAGTTTTTGAGTTTCATAGCTTCTTGTAACGTTTGGTTTTATGAAATAAGTGTGTCTGAGAGTGTAACCAGCAGGCCTAGGAAGGTAAGTGTCGAAGAAGTAAGCGCAATACTGCTTTGTTTGATCTTTGCCCTTTTTTGGTTTCCAACTATACACCCATTTCACTAACCAGCGTGAGTTGGAAGACTCTTGACCATATAATTAACTCTAACATATTTCATCACTTGCAAGCAAATACATTTTTTTTGTCCAGTTTCAACATGGCTTTAGGGCAGGCTTCTCTTGCGTCACTCAGTTAGTCGAATTTTCGTATGATGTGTTTTCTTCTTTTGATTCTGGGAAGCAGGTTGATTGTATAATGTTAGTCTTTAGTAAGGCTTTTGATACCGTGCCACACTCGTTATTGCTTTTAAAACTCTCATCTTTAGGTTTACCTGTTTCTGTCCTTGGTTGGATAGCTGACTATCTAACCGGTCGGTCCCAAAATGTAGCCCTTAATGGCTCAGAATCTTACTTTGTTTCAGTAACGTCGGGTGTTCCCCAAGGATCCGTGCTTGGTCCACTTCTGTTTTTAACCTATATAGATGGTATAGGCTACGGAGCTAGCTCAAAAATAAGATTATATGCAGATGATTGTGTGTTGTACAGGGATATAAATAACCAGACGATGCTGCCGCTTTACAAACTGATCTTGATCAAATACTCACATGGAGCAACAAATGGAAAATGAAACTGAATTTTGCAAAGTGTAATTGTATCCGCTTTAGCAATTACTACCTAGATGCAAATCAGATTACCTTGGCGAAGGATGTGATGTATTTAGGTGCTATTTTTTCATATAACATAACGTGGAGTACTAATGTTGAATTTATAACAATGAAAGCAGGACGTGTACTTAACTTCATAAAAGAAACTTTAAACAAGCGCCTCGTGACGTCAAAGAAATACTATACCTTTCTAGCGTACGTTCCTACTTAGAATATGCTGGTGTAGTATGGGATTCCAACACTAAAACGTTAATAAATAAATTTGAGGTCATCTAAAATCGCTCTGTTCGTTTTGTTACTAACTTTTATCATTTTGATATCAGTGTCACGGCATTAAAAAAAATCATTGTCATGGGAGTCGCTCGATCTTCGCCGGAGGTTATCAAGGTACTCTTTTCTGAATAAAGTGATTCGTGAACGTACCGGTAATGATAAGAGCATCTACTTAAAACCCCTTACTTTCACTTTCCAGAGATTAGACTACTCGGGTAAATAGCATGCCACACATCTGTTTTTCAATCGTCATTTTTCCAACGAACAATAAATCAGTAGATTTATTGTTCGTTGCTCCCCGAAGCTGTAGTTTCGGCTTCGGATGAAACATTTGATTGTCTCTTATGTCTTTACTTACACGAGAATGATCCATGAATAATGCATTGTTTTGCATTGTGCTGAGGTTAGCAGCTTATAGTAAATACGTGTAAGTTGTGTTACTTTTTTTTTTGTGATTGCGCATTGCATTATTTGTAGCAGATGTCACCATGTATTGATATTTTTTTTTGCATTTCCATTTGTGTATTTGTTGTGTTTACATGTAAGTTACCCCCCCCCCCTACAATAATGCCCCCAGGGCTAAATGTAGGTAACAAATAAATAAAATATATAAATAAAAATTACGTTCATCAGTTTTAAGAAGTGAACGTGTTTAATTAATAATAGCTTATACTTTACAAAATAGAGCGGTGTGCCGCTCAATAAAGCATAAATTGTCGATAAATCTTACAGCTTTCTTTTGCAAGAGGAGTACCCTGTTATTGTTCATACACGTCGTCGTTCCCCAAATCAAGAGACAATATTGTAGGCAAGAGTATACAAGGGTATAGTAAAGTTGCAGCTTAAGCCAGTTTGGCAGTAACGGTCTGAGTTTGTTCAGCATTCCAATCGAACGTGAAATGTCAGACCTAAGAAGATTGAAATGATTAGTTCAACCTAAAAAAATTCTTCTAACCAAACTCCAAGAACTTTGTGCGCCGTAGTGGACTCTATAACTGAGTTTAAAAAAATGATGCATACCTTATGTTGCATTGGCGTGTTCTTAGATCTGAACATAACATATTTTGTATTATTTGTGTTTAACTCTAAGTCTCTAACTGATTACTTTCTAACCATGTAAATAGTTCTTTAAATTACATGTTTGCCGTTTCTTCAAGTTCTTGAAAGTTTTCCCCGAAAAAAAACAACAACATTAGTGACATCAGCAAACAAACAAAACAAAAATAACAGAGGTCCAAGGATGGAACCCTGTTTGAAACAACCAATTTGAAACATGCTTTTGTTTTAGACAGGAGGTCTAATAAGAACACTGATTATCTGTCTCTGACTCTCTCACCAATTTGCAGGCTTCTTTCCACTCATTTGTTTTATTCTTCGGACAAGAAAGACAATGAATTCATTTTTTTGCGCCGTTTGTCTAGCTTCTACCTTGCGCGTCACGTACCTCGTGGTCTGGATCGAGCTCCAGGGCACGGTTGAACAGGGTCATGGCCTCTTCGCTACGACCTTGGTCCACCAGAATGACTCCAAGCTGTCGTGGAAAGTTAACAGATGTGTCCGTTGCAGTTTTGTTTTTCCTCAAAAACATGCAGTTCTTACTGTTAGTCCAATACATATTTAAACCAATGCAGTAAAAAGTATTTTGCACTAGACTCGATACTCGTCCTACTCTCGGGAACAACTTCTATTGGCATTTCCGAGAAGAGGAGGAGAACTCGCGCACAGCGTTATTCAGCACTCAAAAGGAGAGAGGGCAAGCGTGCCCGTACCTCTGACTGCATTGCCAAGAAAAGTTGTCCCCTATAGTCGAAAGACGTAGCTACAACTCCTTAGCCCATAAATGTATTTTTACAATTAGCGATTGTGTTAGACCCGGCAACGAGCTAAAGTGTAAATATTAAGTGAAATATACACAGGTTAGTGTAACGAGAAATTTGGAAGAAAAAGAAAAAAAAAAATCAGAAGAAAAGATTAAAAATAAGAAAAATTAAGAAGTGTGGGAATAGTGGTTAAGATGGAAGCCCAGAGTCATCCCCAGCACCACTGCAAAGGGAGCCTGTATTCGTGGATTACCCTAGCACTGTAAAGTATACATGAAGAACGCAGGGCTATAAATGAGGTCATCCATACAACCTCTGCTCGTTGCGCACCTCGTGCGTTTGTTTACCCGCCAAAAGCACCTACGTGGTTGTGTCCCCCCCCTCCCCCCCTCCTCCGCCACCTCAATCAATAACGGCGCGAGCTATGCTGCCTCGTCATCGCGCGTTCCCTGGGCGTTCTCTATGTTACCCTTTGACTGGCGCGCACCTCCTTGCCTTCCAATGCGCCAAAAGAGGCATTCTGGAACACTTTCTCGGTGTATTAAATTCAAACGTCTGTTCTCACACCCCTGATATTAAATAACAATTGCTCTAATTGAGAAAACAAAATGAAGAACCATGAGTCTTACTTACGTTGTAGTAGAGGTCGGGATTATTCTCGTCCAGTTCCAGCGCCCTCTCGTACATCGCTTCGGCTTCTTTCGTCCTGTTTCAGAAAGGAATTAATGCGCTTGGTGGATCTCAAGTTCTCAACGAAAGGCTGACGGAAGTAAGTCAGGCTCGCGACCGCGGAGTCGCGGCGCCCCTACCTGTTCATCCGCATCAGAAAATCGCCGCGATTCAGATAGGCGTCCGTGAAATCGGACCGGAGGCTGATGGCTTCCTTGTACAACTGCAAGAACGAACGTCACGAAAGATCCATATGAGTGACACAAGCGTACACGGGAATCAATGGGCGTTATGAACGACACGTCCGTTTTAGATGTGTTTTTCGCGACATCGTATTGTTTTTAGAGAGAAGCTGAAAACAAGTATTTTGGGCGATCCGCTTCTATGAGCATATTCCTTGTATCCACAAGGTAGCGCGTGCTTATGTGAGGATACAATCTGCTGTGGACATAGCTCCAATTATAGAGCGAAATAAGGTGCATATGCAGAATGTTTCATTATAATATGATTTTTTTTTAATTTCAGTTTTAGTTATTCAAAATTTTAAAGCAGGCAGCAGGCTAATTGGGAGAATTGCGAGCGGATAATAATCTTGCACTTCACTGTTTTTTCTTTTCTACATATGCACACATAGAATGCGGCAGGTGCTGTGACGCTGAAAGTACTAGAGTGCATCAACGTCGCATGCTGGCTGCGCCTTGCTAGAGGGGCGACATTTTTTAGGAGGGCAAGTGCCGCCTTTTCGGCCGCGGCCACCATTTTGCCTCCCACGATATGGTGACTTCGTATACGTGAGACCAGTGGATCGACTTGTGCCCGTGAAAATGCAAAATTATGAAGTATACTCGGTAAGGTCGGAATATATTATTCCAAGTAGAGGCTTCCTCGACTGCTACAAAACGTCGCCAATGCAGTCATTGGCACACTGTTTTCGCATTATCAATATAAATGCAGCGCCGAAAACAAGCGCATAGTTGACGGAACACGTAACGTCACATGTTAAAGTTCCCACGTCATTTGATAAGTGATAATGCTCAATAACTGCATAAATAGCTCATAAACCACTACATATGAGTGGAAGGCAAAATGGCAGTTTAGCAAGCAGACAACAGAGTTGTCTTCACTCTGCGAGGGCCGCCAGCCCAGTAACACGGAGGCACTCTAAACATCATAACGTGAAAATCAAGACTATCATGATCGGTGTCTTAATGTTTTTAGAATGTCTTCCCTGGTACGTCATCCGTCGAGCTCCACGCGTAGACTACAATGATTGACTTCCCAAGTGCTTGGGAACGAAGGCGCGAGTGACTTGGAAAGAGAGAATTTAAGTTTTTATTGAATACAGATTTCCAGCACTTATCATCAAGGCAAAAATGTTGAGTCACTGGGCTGGGGGCACATTATTCGCATCTAAAATATTCCGCAAAAGAAAGCTACTGCGCATGCCCACAATACAAATAGTAGAATGGCCAAAAAGATGCGAAAGTTCGTACTACAAATAAAACGAAACAGAAACAAAAATACTACGCATAAAAATGTGAGATACTGGTTCTGCTACAGTGAGTGTTGTGGGCCACATGTGTTATAACACACTATAGTGTGTAAGAGTGGCAATGCAATTGGCCGGGGGAAGAGACGTACCTGATCAGCTTCCTCGACCCGGCTGCTGTTCTGGGCAATGAGAGAGGCGAAGTTGAGGTACACCTGCAGGTGGCTCGACGTCACTCGAATCAGGTGGGGCGACCGACTTGGTTCAGGTTTCGGGAGCAGACTCAGAGCCTGAAAGCCAACACGCGGAATTACGACCCCGGAAAACAAAACGGTAGCAAAAACCCAGTAAGTCACGTCATTCTCCGAGTGTAAAGCCCCAGTGTGTTAAAATTAGGTGTGTGTGTGTGTGTGTGTGTGTTTGTGTATGTGTTTGTGTATGTGTGTGTGCCTCTGTGTGTGTGGATGTGTAATGGATAACCTGATATACCCCAAAACGCAAGAAGCAATTAATCGTTTCACCTTCGGATCCCCAGGTGGCGGGTTCGAGTCCCGTTAGAAGTGCCCACAATCTGACGGAGGCTTATTGCGGACAAGGCGCCGTGCAACCGAGCTTTCGGTTGCACATCAAAAGATCCCTATAGGTGGCTGAAATTAATCCTCAATCCTCCGCTGGGGCGTGCCAGATGCCCGTCGTTGGTTTGGCACGTAAAACACGCACAATTGTTTTTTCTTCTTTCGTTTTACTTTAAGACTGAACGCAGCCGACGGTACAAGCCGAGTGACCAATCAAGCTTTGTCGAAATAGCAGCGTCACGTTTTTCGCCGTCTTTTTGTGCGGGCTCATCCGCCGGCTCATTCAATCCAGCGCCGAGTGCGCCGTGACTTTACGCTATTAGTCTGTGTGTATGCGCTCGTTCGCTTGTTTGTTTTCTATAGGCTTCGACCGCCGCTCAGGCTTAAAACTAAATATAATAGAGAGTTTTAGTAATACGTATAGGAGCAAACGCAGACCCCATACGTTAGCGTTAACGTTGCGTCGTTCACACTGCGCATGCGCCATACGTACGTACTGCGGCGAGCCTTGCGTACGTACGCTCGCTATCGATTTTTGCGAACGTACGTAGCGGTCCCCTGCGTGCCATCTCGTTGCTCTCGTCGCGCACGGGAAAGCGCGAGACTAGCCCAGTTTGAAAAATGGCGGCGGTGAGGCAAACCAGCGGAAGTGCTACGGGCATTGTACGGGTTCGCTCTACCATTGAAGATGACATCAACCTCCTCAAAGAAGTCAACGCGACGAACCCTTTCGAGCACCCACAAAGATGGGTGTCGATAGCCAAGAACGTTGGCCACGCCGTCGAACCCAAAAAGGTGTTTACCGTGCGGTCGGTACAAAAAAAAAAGTAAAAACACGTACACAACAGGCACACGGAAACACGCACTTCCCTAACAAAGCGAGGAGAATCGGGGCTTTGGATTGGCTGGACCGAATACCCGCCTTGGATTGTTTGAAGCAGTTTACAGGAGCACATCTAGATGGCGCTACAAGTCTTTACGTATGCGTTTTTCTTCCGCTGTACTAAAAGTGCGTATTCGACGCGCTCCGTAACGTTCCGTCGACGCAACGTTAACGCTAACGTAGGGGGCTTGCGTTTGCCCCTATACGTATTACTAAAACTCTCTAATAACTCCCGTTGTCCCCGTCACTATTTGTGTTCTACAGTCGCGGGCGAAGCTGCGGAGCATTTGACCGACGACAGAACACAACCAAAATACGACCTCAAGCCAGATACTATACGTCTTTTCTCTTATTGATTTCATTCGATCATGTGTGATCTTGAGCACTTTACCTTGACAAAAGCGGCTTCCGCTTTCTCAAAATGCCGCATGGTCGTCAGGACTCTGCCCAAGTTTAGATGACCTCGGATATCGTCCGGTTCCAATCTAAAAGGGAAGCGAAACCGCGAGAACCAAGACCTTGGTTGAATTTAGAATCATAAACTTTCGTTGTCACAATGCAAAAAAAAAAAAGTAATTTTAAGTTTGGACGTTGTGAGAATATGAAATAATATTCGAAACTTTATTAGAAATAATAAAAAATGCTGATAGGGCCAGACGTGCTATTTCTAAGCTTAAGCTCTAATTAAATGCGCGTGAAATAAAATAGCGTTATTTCGAAGACTACGAACAAGTTAGATGACAAGTTGCAACTGAACATAAAAGGAAGACGAACATCAGGAGGCGTCTCGATTCTTGAGATTCCAAATAGAGATCAAAGTATTTATTCGAAATCTAATCGAAGCTATCTCCGAGACTGTAGGCGCGTGCAAGCTGGGAAGTTTGGATAGTGAAGTGCTGCCGAAGTTGGCTTACCGGACGGCTTTGGTGTAGTATGAGTGCGCCTCTTCAAACAAGTTGGCCGCTTCCATCGTCTGCCCAAGATTGTTCAGCATCTTGGCATTGCTGGGACTCACGCGGAGAGCCGACTCGTACAAGGACTGCTCGGACCACCTGCCCCAAAAAATGCAAAAAGTAAATCAATAAATACAAACGAGTCTAGATTTGTGACAGATACGCTTTTTTCGAAAAACAAGTATGACCAATAGCTTGATTTCGTTACATAATATGTGATTATAGAAAATCGAATTATTCGAAAAGGTTACGCCGATCGACATCATTGCACTAGATAAATAAAGAGGTTCTAGGGTACCCGAGTGCCAGCACAAAACGTGCAGTATTAACGAGATCGTTGAAACGTCGCTGTAGTAGACCGCGCAGGAAACGACTTTGTGGTAGCAACGCAGATCGTTGAAGTCTCAGCTATTTGTTTGCGTCTCTTGCTTGGCGGAATTCTGTGAGAGGTAAGGACCGCAAGTGCGTCGCACTCACGCAGCTCCTTGCGCGACTTAGATTTTTATTTTCGGAGAAATCAGCTCGCATAACGCCTCGGCCAACTATACCAGACCTGACGTTAGCAACTACGTAGGCAGGTAGGTCTTGGCCAAATTCATATAACTCTAAGTGTGACCGGTTAAAAAAAACAACAACAACAGCAGAGGAAATAGGTGACGAGGTGTCTTAGTGGCGCCCTCGTGCGGTTTATAGCCGTGACGTCAGGACCAGGACAAGGCCTACAAGAATTTTGGCACGCGAAGCTCTTCTCCGGCCCTTCTAAACACTTGGCTGCCCAACAAATAGAGCTTATAGCGCAGCTTCTCCAGAGCTCCGCAAGGTGGGGAGTGTTCGGGGCCACACCTTTAGAAACACCGACATCACAAAGATAAAATTTGTGCATGCGGCAAAAAGGCGGCATGAAAAAAAAAATGTTTTGCCTAAGCTATAGGGCACGAGCAGTGAGGCATCTGATATCGAGTCTAAAGCGCCGGCGCGTTTGGCAGGCTTTTGTTTCAGTTTCTAGCTTCAAGCCAGCCGGCCCTGGTCATCTGCAGCAAGGTAGGTGCAGCTCTGGTGATACGCTATTTTTACTGCTGCTTCTCATTTTTTTTTCTGCATTGCTTTCGATAGACGAGACCCTCAGCCTGCAAGATTATGCAAATCAGTAAGTTTGCTTTCCGCAGGTAAGGCTTGGGTCAGCAGGACACAGATACAGCTTCTCCTGTCGTCGTGAGAAAACCTTGTTTAACGTCGTTTACATATTTCAACTTGCTCGTTATAAAGATCAGCAAACTCTTTTGCCGCGGAACGGCAAAAGAGCGATATCGAGGTGAATGAAAGGAAAAAATAAATAAATAAAAATAGGTGGCCCTGCGGGTTGCGCGATAGTTTCACCCGGAGGATGGAACGGCCTGGGTGGAGCTCAGTGTGCAAAAAAAAAATCTAGGAGGCCATGACCAGAATTATGAGCTGCGGACTGCAAGTTCGATGTTGCACGTAAAAAATCATTGTGGGGTCACGATCTCATCGCGTTCTTACACTAACACTATCAAAGTTGACAGTCTGACATCACTCTTATTTCCGTCGATGAAAGCAAAAATTAAGCATCCCAGGAGAAACGTCATAGTGAGCGTTTAGCCACTCGTGGAAGACCAACTGCAGCGACACTTCTGGTCAAGCACGTTACCCATATTCGTGGCTTCAGTTATTCTAACGGAGCGAAACGACTTTTCTCATCCACCTGTTTGTTTATTAAACAAAACAAATATTTGAAGACAAGGAAGACAACAAATGTGATTGTACGATTTATGAAATATAATCTAGCTACGTTATTTACGAAACCAATACAATTTATTGGGTTTTAGAAACGAAAAACGTGAACTTATGGGGGTTTCGAGACGCGTTATCGGCAGTCATGGAGTCCTTTCCTGGTGAACCATAATCTATCCAGAGGCTGAAATAGGAGCTCATTTCATATTCATGCACAATTCAAAAATAGTAGGAAAAACGAGATCTCCCAGGAAGAAAAATATTCAAAGCTGAGACGTACGTCTGTACAGAAATATCGCAACTGGGGTAAAACACACAATAGAGCGAAAACGAGCCTCCCGACACTCAAGAACAATGCAACGATCCACATTAGGTTCTCGGGGCATGTTTTTATTCCTGCGTTTGTCGACGTAAACGCCAGCGTTGCAAAGAGAGCACGTTCGAAAATGGTCAGGATATCGCGAAAGATGACAGTGATTGATTGTCCGGGCCGGAGTTCGATTCCGCGAAATCGATGTCGACATGCATAATTTGTTTTTGTTTTATTTTTTCTCCTCGCCGCGCCACACACATGCTCTCTCTCTCTTTCTTTTTTTCTTCCCCGTTTTGTTGTAGGCTCCAAAGGGGATCGTTCTGATCGCTAGAAGATGCATATACCCGAGACCCCGTTTCGCTGTGCAACGACAAAGAAATCTTCAAGCACACTCGACGCTCTTCCATCCACGATTTTATTCACGTTTGAAAGAGATCCCTATTGGTATCTCTTATTGACGTTTAGTATTGACGTACCAGCACGAACATTTCTTTTTTTTTTGTTTTGTTGTGTTTAAAGCATCTCGAAATACACTATATCTCCAAAATTTTGTTTCGTTCCTTGCAACTCATTAACGTCGAGCTAGAAAGGTCCAAACGACGTTCCTTATGCGAATTCATAACTCAAGCCGCTGTCACGCTCCTAAAACATCGTACAAAAGGCGGTCTGCCTATATCACTGTCTGAGGTCTTCCTCGCATGACAAACACTGTCCGCAGACATGTCCGAAGCACTCATGAAGCAAACATACTCTTGGAACGTGCTTCAGGTGTGTCCGCATATGAATATGTCATCATATCTGCAGAGTAACTCCGTGTCTTTTTTTAGGATGTACGGGCAGCGTGACAGCGGCTTAAGGCCACCACAGTGTCCACAGGAAATACACGTACGCAGAATTTCGGCGCAGTTGGAGGGTCCGAAATGCCGTTTGTGCTCCGTGACGTGTTTATTTTTTTTCACTGAATGCGAACTATTAACCTCCGCAGGGTTTGTGAAAAACTAAAGCTCCGACTTTGTTCACAAAGCCTCTTGCACTATCTGAGGGAACGTACGGTGCTCACGAAGTGGGACCTCTACGGCGGTTTCCTGCTTTGTTAGCCGCCCAAAGGCAGTTGGTAATGGACATATAAAAAACAATTGAATCTAAATACGGTCTTTATGTTGTAGTTATACTTTAAATCTGAGGAGTTCGAAAAACAGAACTAACAGATTTAACGTATTTACGCATATCCGATTCGATTGTTTCTGATCTTGAGAGAAAAAAAAAAGAAAGCCGTTTACAACTCCCTGTAACACCGAATTAGAACGCAGCTTTTGAGGAGGAGGAGGGGAAGGTACGGAGAGGGGGCTGTGCCCCTCCTCCTCTCCTGCTCGCCTCCCATATAGGGGAAAACGTTCCGCTAAATTTAGCGGAAAAATTCCCCACTAAATTTAGCGGGGAAATATTTCTGCTAGATTTAGTGGGGAATTATTTGGTGTGGAAATTTTTCCGCTAAGTTTAACGAGAAAATTTACCCATCATGCACCGCGCGGTTACGCCGACGCCGACGCCGCTCACGAGCTGCGCTCTAAAATGAGGTTAAAAGTGACCGCGATGTTCCAGCCCCATTTTATGACGGGTGAAGCACTGCAGCTTACCAGTCGTAGTTGCGCAGGAACGTCTTGGCGGCGTGAGTGAGGAGAAGTACAGCGACACCCAGCTTCAGCCAGGCACAGTACCTCCTGAGAAGAGCGAAGATACGTTTGTTGCCAATACACTCCACGGCTCGACTTAACCACCGTCATTACGTCCAGGAAGACATGGGTGCAATAGGCGCAGAAATTAGAACACGATTTCATCCAAGTATTGCCAACTTCTAAATGAATAAAATATAGTATTATACAATTCAGATAGAGGTCTGCAGCTGTCTTAGTCTCAGTTGCGTAGCGAGTAATCAACGCTTGAAAACAGCCTGGCTTAGCTGCTGAAAACGCGTACCTAAAAGAAATACTATCACGAAAAAAAAATTTCAAGGTGAGCTCTGAATGGACAAGAAAGAGGTGCATTTTATAGATCGCATAGTAATACCAGCTTACGCATACATACGCTGTCAGTACTCACGTTTGTTTTATAGACAACTCATTTAATAGCCAGTTGTTTCTTCGCAGCTGCGAATTTAAAGAAAATTTGAAGAAACACTTCGACACTATTATATTTTTGTTCGTTTTGTTGGTTGCCTTGTTGTACTAAAGATAAATTCCGAAACGTTATTGTAAACAATCTAATTATTATTATTCTTGCGAGGATAATGCTATCAAAATAGGAACACTTAGCGCTTAAAATAAAACTGCAGTTTCAAGCTAAACGGAGGTTACCTGTACTGCTGGGCCAGAAGGCTGCACCCTTGCGCCACCAAGAGGCAAAAGCCCAGACTGGGCAGGTAGAGGACTCTCTCGGCCACCACGAAGCCCACCGGATGCAGAAGATTGGACGCCGGCAGGTACGGAAAGCACACCAGGGAAAGGCCCTGCACGAGTCACCAGAGTGCCGTCGACAAGGGTTCTCCACCCCCAAAGACCAGAAGCACCTTGAAGACAAGGCCTTTCCCCTATAAAAGCCATTACTAGGGGATCCAGGCAGCGGCGCCTAGCAGGTGTCAGCATCGTCGAAAGCGCGTCTCCCAGTGTATCACAACAAGCGCTACGATAGGACGCACGCGTGTGCCGCTTGGAGGCGGCTCTTGTTGAGCGTGTTTACCGCTTGGGCGGGTCGGGAATCCGCTAACAATGGCGTCACGCACAGGCCTTGTCTTCTAGGTGGTATTGCGGAGCCTCGACCGTACCATGAGCAGCGGTCTCCTATGTCGCTCGTCCGATTCCAGCGCCGCTCTAGTAGCCACCGCGAGAAACAGGTAGACGGCAACCGTGGCCAGGTTCCGCGGATCCGTCAATGACGTCACCAGAGGCACAGTTCCCATGGTCCAATCACAGCACAGATCACAGGGGAAGACTAGGAGCCAGGCGTTCAGGGCCGCCAGATAGTTGTACGTCAGCTGGCGTGCAGGCGCAGGCGCCACCGACGCTGGGTTGTCGAAACTGCGCCGAAGAGACGCTGGGTGTCACCACAACCCTATGGCGACACGGGATCGCCCATGCTGAAACCTCTGGACAAACGGATAAATTTTTAATATTTGGAACAGTTCATATTTCCAGAGCAACGTGGAATGTTCTCCGTCCGTCTTGAGGGATATTGCTGTCTTGGTTTGTTTGCTTGCGTCGCTGTAAAATGCAGCTACTTTCTAAAGTTTTTTTTTTTTTTAACATTTTATATAATGGTCATAAGTTTTTATTTTTTTTTATCAAAAACTGCTCCGTCATCATGGCTGTTTTAGAGGAGTAGCCGATTTCAGAACTATGTTGTTTTTGTTTTAGCATCTAGAGCTCGGGTTAGATTGTTAGCATCATTTCTACATATCCCTTTCAGTTTACAATCAGAGGAGAAATAAGCGTTCGGGCGCAAGTGCGGCTTGTATATATATATATATATATATATATATATATATATATATATATATATATATATTTTTTTTTTTACATTTAGGCACAGAGAAAGCTTAATTGATATGGGGCGCTGAAAAAACGCTTGTCGCATTGCTCCCTTTTTTCTTTCTGCTAAGTAAATAAAAGAAAAACAGACAAACAAAGCGTAGTTCTAAACTTTGCCACTCCGCCTTCGTTATCTGCGTTTCTCAATATAAGATATCCGATTTAAAGGGCGTTCATATCAATGAGGTTAGGACCACTAACGCCGCTGCTTCTCTATTTTGGCCGAGAGAAAGAGAAGTACCTTTGCATTTTAACAACTCACCGACTGAAGGCAGGTAGGTGCGGCCCATTCAACCGGAGGCGCATCAGGACAGCCGCGATGGCCGACGATCCAAGGATGATGACTCGGAAAAACGCATCTTTGGACGCCAGCCATGTGGTTGTCCAGGCAGACGAACTCCAGCACGGCTAATGGGACGCATTGTAAAGAAAAAAAAACAAAAAACAAAAAAAAAAACAAAAAAAAAACAACGCCAATGAGCGAATTAAGATCAAGTTACGACTTTGGGGACAATCAGTGTCTTGTGTTATCTTTATCTGTCTATGCGTTCCATAGTTAACTTCATCTTCACGCTATTTCTGTGTCATTAGACATATTTGATCTTCCGTGTTTTCCAGTATTGCTTATCTGCGGCGACTGGACGTATAAGGGGTTTTGACCCTCCGATGACTGTAATGTTACCAAAACCATCTTTGTGAAAACGACAAGAAGAAAAACGTCGAATAGCCCATATTAAAAAAAAAAAGAAAAGAACAAAGGGAGCAAACACTGCTCCAAGAACTAAAAAAAAAAAAAAAAGAAACACAGAAAAAAAAGCACATGCCCCTGGGAGCTTTAAAATGGCAGGGAAAGGGGGAGAAGGCGGGGTCCGGCGGCCAACTGGGCTAGCGCACACCAGCTCGGAGCACATGGAACGAAAGCTCGCGCTGCAGAACCCAGGGATCCTGGGTTCAATTCCCAGCCCTGCCCGTTTTGATCTGGATAAGCATCTCACCGGCATGCGGTCGTGTGCCATTACTGCGCGGTGCACGTTAAAGAACCCAGGCTAAATTGCTCATCTACCGCTGAGGGACAAGTCGCCCGTTGAGAAAACTAAGTGCAGGCTGTGTAGACATGCACCCACACCAAATTTTTTTTTGTTTTTTTCAGAATGACATCTGTTCTGTTTTATGACCCTGAAGAAGCCAAATCGGATAGAAAAACGGCAGTCTCTATTTAGAAAGTCCGCAGAAGTGACTTTCTTTTTTAAATGTGAGAGTATTTATTTTGCCTTGCATTTACAATGGGCATTACGTTAGAAAGTGCGGAATTCGGAGGTTTCAAGTTCTGCCCAAAGTACAAAACTCAAGCTCGAAGTCCCAGGAGTAGGGCTTTCCCACGGAGAGCATGTGCCTGTGGCAAAGACTGTTTTAAGCGAAAAAGCGCTGTCGCCCAGCATAGCATTATTCTATTCGCATTTACTTTTGCCCCGTAAACACATTCACCGGGGCCACTACGTTAAAACAGTAGAACACAGCGACCATACACGTATGCACGGAACAAATAATATGCCGCCCGAATATTTTAAGCTCGCCGCTGCAGGAACTGGAAAATATCGAAAGGCGCGCCGGACAAAGCACCTCATTCGCGCACAGAGTTGAAAAGCACCTTTCGGCCGTTCTTCCAATTTTTTCCAAGTACTATAAATAACACAACAAAAATATAGAATGCCCCGGGGTCTCCTACCACACTCGCGATCCCCTTCAACATTCCGCGCTCCCAACCAAAAAAAAAACAAAAAACAAAAAAAAAAACGGACGAACGGTCACGCCCGCGAAGAGTCCGAGCCGACGACGACACGCGCGAATTCGGCGAGCCAAACACGATGATTTAATTTTACTTATCGAGAGTTGAAGCGGACTCCCGAAACCATCTCCTTTCCTCCCTCGTCTCCCTTGTGCGTTCGTGCTTGTCCCCCGCGTCTCTTTTGAAATGTGGGCGGAAGAAAAAAAACGAGGGCGAGTCCGGGATCAAACGCCGCGGCTCCGTTCGGAAGGGCACACACACACCGTTCCACGCACCGAAATCAGGGGGTCCGTTTTGTTTCCGTTTCGGTCTCGTGATCTGACGCGATGCAATCGATTTGCGCGTCGCGTGGCGTCCGCGACGACGCGCTGGCTCTGCCCTTCTCTCCCTCGATAGTGAGCGCCAATGTTTGCGCCTCAACTCGCTCGTCCATGGAGCGGCACCGATAATGGTATTTGTCACGCTCGAAGCGAGGGCGCCGCCGCCACCAACTGCGCCGTGCCGCCGCTCCCCCCCATCCACCTCGCCCAGCCGCCCCGGGCAAGCACGTTCACGGACGCACGCGAACATCGTCAAGCATTCCACATTTCTTCGAGTGGTCGGGATGGCAGAGTTTTTGTCCTTTCCCCTTCTTGTTTTTTTCTGCATGTTCGGTGGTTGTTAGCAGGTTTTGTTTTCTGTTTCGCCTTTACATTAAAGCTTTCAGTGTTTACTTGCTCTTCTCCTCTTTCTCATTGTCTCTCTCTTTCTTTCCGTATACATACATACATATATATATATATATATACGGTGCAGCATGTTTTTATGAGGAGGAGTGGTCGCTTAAATACCTGGGAAGACAGTCTCTTTCCGACATTTCCGAGCTGAAATGACGTGTTACGTCACTTCCGCAACTCGGAACATTAGCATGGGCCTTATATCAGCAACGGCTGTCGTCTACCCGGTTAAGCGAACTCGAAACTAACAGTACACAGAGAGCGGGGGAAAAAATTGAGTCGGCCGAAACCAGTGGCCGGGATGGTCTAATCGGCTAAGGCGTTGCCCCGGATAGGACCAAGAGCGAGTTCGATTCCCGCTCCTGGCCCAATATATATATATATATATATATATATATATATATATATATATATATATATATATATATATATATATATATAAAATGCTTACACAGTAAAGCCCGCTTTTCTCTGTGCGCTTCTACATTTACGGCATGTTGGCTCACCAACATTGAAGAGGGAAGCAAACTTCATAGACTGTGTGTCGGCGTCTCGTCGCCAACAGAACGACTTGGGACACCGCCTTCTAGGTTTTTGTGAAGGAGAGGAAGTATAATTTCCTTAACCCACCTAAGACTGGGTGGAGAACGAGCGGAATCCAAAGTGAAAGAGAAAAGAACTGAATGACAGAAGTCTCAAACTCAGCTGACTTCTTTAGTAGGATCTTTATATATAAAACATTCTTAAGGTCGCCACCCCCCCCCCTTTTTCTCCCTCCACTTTCTCACAAAAAACAAAAACAAAAAACACGCACAAGTTCAGAACACAAACACACACCAAAAAAACCCGGCCTACCTCCTAAAACTAGTTATAAAAAAAAAATATATATATATATATACTTTCTTTAATTTTTTTCAGTCATTAACATATAAAAAAGCAAATTTGTTTTAATGTTTTTAGGATGATTAGTTCTAGGAGGTATGCCAGTTCTTTTGCGCGTGTTTGTGTTCTGCAGTTGTGAGTGTTTTCGTGTGGGCGGTAGTTGTTTGGCGACCTTGAAAATGTTGTATATTTGAGCATGCTACTGAATAAACAAGTCCGCTGAGTTTGAGTCTTCTCTCCTTCTGTTCCTTTCTCTTCCACTTTGGATTCTTCTCGTTGTTCACCCAGATGAGGTGGTTTAAGAAAATGGTAAACCTACACCAGCTCGCCCGCGCCATTCCTGTTTTATCGAGAATGTATACCTAATTTACAAACACGCGAATAGGGGGGCGGGGGAGGATAAGAAAAGAAGTTGACTATTGTACGTGAGACATGACTAACATGATTATGTCTTCATAGCCAATAATTTAACCCATGTAGCGAGTTTTAAACATGCTTGCAACTTTTGCCGAACGAAAGCCATTGAAACGTAACGCGAGTTTTGTTGTCAATGTCGCCTCGATACATTGTTTTTAGTTCAATTATTTTTATACGCTCCGCTATTTTTGAATCAGCGGAACATCTTTACAAGCGAGCTCATGCGCCCCATCGCATATTGTAACGCGTCAAGGAGCGCAAGACACGAGACACTTTTCGCAACTCCGAGTGGCTCTACCATCGTTTGAATTCAACAAGGACTGATTAAAAACTGGCTGTATGTTTCGTGACGTAAGAGTTCTCCAAAACCTCCATGTAATTATTCGTACGGATCTTAGAACGCAAAGTAAAAGTTGATAAACAACGCACCCCCGATGCTAACACTCTTTTCGTAAGCGGGGCTTTTCGCCTTGTATTCTAATTCATTTTTTTAGCAAAGAACGAAATATCTATTCGTCAATAAGAGTGACTTACGTTCACATCAATCAAAATTTGTCCAGTGAACTCATTGGAAGCCCCAAAAGTACAGCGGTATTTAAAACTTGTCCCATCGGTGGCGACAAGTTAGTTGGCTTGCTATATGCAGTGTCGCTGCGAATAACAAGCTAAATAACAGGAAACTGGGCCGAACGTGTAGTTCGCAGCCATAAATAAGCCAACTGTTAAAAGTATCGATATCTATTTGTTCGTGCAACGGCACTAGAGTCAGTGAAAGGCTAAAATGCAGTAGAAACTCCACCGCCAGCACGCCTTCGCAGCCTTCCGCTGGGCATTGGCTGCACGCACGTGCGACGAAGTGCTATCAAAGACTGAAAGCTCGCGCCAGAGGCGGATCATCTATTGCATTTTTATCATGCCACCAACAATAGAGTATGAAACTCGCGAGCGCACCATGTAAACCTTCGCTCGCAAGCAGCACACGTAGCAGTAAGTATGGAGGCTAACTAACTCTCCCAACAGTGCTCCTCTTGCCGCCAATCTAGGAAGTGGAAACGTAGCTCAAGAGGTATCGATCACTCATTCGGCTAGCCTACTCACACACTTGACCTGGTTAACTCGAGGGAACATCTGTTAGGTTAGGGATATCATAAATTAATTCGCATCGTTCGAGGATCGATAGCACCAGCGGTGATTCGTAGTACGGTTTATCTTACGGACAAGCATATTATACTAGACATAACAAGACCCAAGACACCGGAAGAAGAAAAAAGAAGGACACGAAAAAGAGGACGACACAAACGTCCTCTTTTTCTTGTCCTTCTTTTCCCTTCTTCCGGCGTCTTAGGTTTTGTTATGTCTGCAATTCACCAGCTTGCCTTTTACTCTTCTCTCATATTATACTATATGCTCGTAGAAAGTACTGTCGTTTTATTCTTTGTAGATACATAAAAATACTCATGAGAAATGACCGAAACGCACAAAAAGAGTAGGGATGGTAGCTTTCGAACAAATTAAACATACCCTAGTCGGTAACAGGTGAAAAAACCCAGAAGATGCTTCACCCGGAGCGCGAACTTTCTGTTTTGATAGCACTTAGTTGCACGCGGAGTCAAAGTCCTGCGGAAGTTAACGAGCGCGCGCGATAGGCGGCGTATCTACTGGCTTCTTAACCTGTCACCGACTGGCCTGTTTAACATCCCGGAAATGCAAACACACTCGCCAAAGAAATAATGAAATAAGTCCGCCCTTGCTCTGTTTCACATTACGATGGACCGTAGAGGACGTTAAGAGTCATCGGAACCAATCCAACGTTGAGTAAGTGTCACGTGACTTTCGGGATGGGCGCAGCGACGCGCGGGGAGCGTGGTCACGTGATCCTTCTCAGCGCTGGATTGACTGGGATGGATCGTAGCATCCGCCGCGATCCACCGTAAAGAGAACGGGAGTATTGCAGACTGGGAGAACGGAAACCGCGCTAGGGCGCGGTGGCAGTAATATGAACGTATCTTCAAGGTACGTTTATACTCCAACGTAACTTCGACGGGCGCGGCGTAGCGCAGTGCGCGCAGATACTGATAGGTCGCAGATATCGAGTTCCTGGTCGGCGGCCAATGAAATGTGCGCGTTCTGCGCTACGCTGCGTTCACTGCGCTCAACGTCGGAGTATAAACAGCCCGCCACTTAAAAGCACAGCGACAACAACAAAGCTCAAGCTCAGGCTAGCGGGTGAAGGAAAGTCCAAGTAATGGCTCACAGCAAGTGAAGCAAGCTCGTAGATGCAGCATACAGCAATTACTGTGATGCCCTGTTCTTTACAAAGCATCGCCACCATGGCCAACGTCGCTGTAACCAGGCAGCGCCGCCAAGGACCTGAAATAAAGGCAGTTTCCTTTGATTAACTGCAAGTAAATGCAAAGGTGCAAGCCAGCTGGACAAGAATGACGAAAATAATCCCTGGAGAAGGGGAACAAGGGGGAGAAAGGTCAAACACAAATCTCCAAACACAGATTGGGGGACTCTTGCGCGACCGAAAAAATCCGCCTGGTACGGGTATGGAACCCGGGACCTCTCTTATTTTCGGCAGTTCTTCGTCCTAACGGGTCATTGTATGGACACTAAGAAGAAACGAACCATACCACTGCCACGAGGGAATTTAAAATGGCATTTAGCCAAATGTAATGGACCTTTTGCCAATTTACCTAATAACCTAGGAGCATGCTGGGAACGTAAGTACACACGGTGCACGCGCTTGTCATTGCCAGTATACACAAACTCATCGTTGAGAAAAGAGCATGTGGCCACGTGAAGACTGTGGGAACTACACGTATGCAAAAGGCCATCTCTGTTTCACCATAAGTGCGAGTGAAATAAAACCTACAAGGGCGTGCATACTGCCTTGAACTGCTCTTGCGCTGCATGAGCGCGCGTGCTCGCAAGGCCAGTTTAAACCGCGGAGCTCGGTTAGGGTGCACTAGAACTGGGAGGTGTGCGTCGACCTCTCCATAGGGGCTGGCTGTAGTGTGGCCCAATTCCGTCGCAGGGGCCTGGGGTGGCGCTGCCAGTCGCAGCGCGACTAGGAGGCCGGTCGGTCAGTGTTTATCGAGGGTGGCATTGGGCGTGTTGGTCTGACTATTTTTTTTTAAAGGGCGAAGCTCCTTAGGGGCTAGCCATGTCCGTATGTCCGTCCGCCGTCCGGCGTGCCCCTGCTCGTGAGCTCACAAGCAGGAGCTCACGAGCACCTGCTCGTGAGTTCAGCAGCGAGAGCAAAAAAAATAAAAAATAAAAAGATGAAAAAAAAAATTTAAGGGGCTCTGAGATGCCATTCCATCTGTCTTAAAAAAAGAAAAAGAAGAAAACCACACATTCTTCTACTGACATGAATGAAAACGGCGCCATCAGCGCTACCTTGACCAAAATCAGTATCAAGAAAAAGAAGAAAGAAAAAAAGAGTAGGGGGTTCTGAGTTGCCATCCCATCTGCCTTCTTACAAAAAGAAAAAGAAGAAAACCACACATTCTTCTACTGACATGAATGAAAACGGCACCATCAGCACTACCTTGACCAAAATCAGTATCAAGAAAAAGAAGAAAAAAAAAAAAGAGTAGGGGGTTCTGAGTTGCCATCCCATCTGCCTTCTTACAAAAAGAAAAAGAAGAAAACCACACATTCTTCTACTGACAGGAATGAAAACGGCACCGTCAGCACTACCTATGACCAAAATCAGTATCATCAGCACCACCCGAACTTCGCCCCAATCAACATCATTCACCACGTGGAGATGTGGTAATTTTTTTTTTGCTTTGCGTTGTTTGCGAAGCGATACAATGGTGTGTGGCCGCTAGCTGTGTCGAAGAGACGAGGTACTCGCAACGATGCCAAATATTGTGAAGAAAAAAACGGAGCGGTTGTATTTTGTGCCGGGGTGCAACATGGGTTACAACCGCCGTGGTTACAACACATGCAAAGAGAAACACTCCTTGTTTTGGACGTCGAGTGACGCCTCTTTCCTCGCGGAATGGGATCGTTTGATTCCAAGAAAAAATTATAGTGCATCACGCGTTTGCCTTTCTTTCTGAAGGAGAAAAAAAAAAAAAAACTGGTGCAAAGACAAAATAAAAGATTAAGAAAAATGTGTGACCTGTGAGACATGTCAGAGAATTTTGAAGTGGGATTGCTTTTTATTAAAGACAGCGGTTGAAGTTGCGTCATTATCTTGTCAGTCTTAGTGTTTATTTCCAGATGATGTATGCTCACTAAATGAAATAAATTCAGACATTTCCTGGTCTATAAGCTCTGGTTGAGAATGCAGAAGTCAAGAAAAGCTCGGTTTCAATAAACCATGTTACACACACAGACACACACAAAAGATCCATTGGCACCAGAACAAAAGCTGAGTATTTAAACGTCTAAAAAATGTACAGCTCCGCAAAAAAAGAAAAAAAATATTAAACGAGCTTTGACACTAAAGTGGAAAGGAAAACATGGCATATCATATCATACTCAAAATTCGCTTTCTTAATACCGCAATAAAAAGTGAGATTGACATATATTCTTAAATAGAAGCAAGACAAAAATCCCGAAAAATATTAAAGAAACGAGACTATGTAAGTACCTGACCGCTCCCAAACGGTATTTTCGCTTTGAATAAGCTTCTGCCGCTCGCGCAAGTCACGATTTTTCAAAGAGGTGCGAGGCAGGATGGAACATATTCTTTCCCACAACCGAGCAGACAAAAACAAACGAAGGAAGCGACCATTTTCACGCCGAACAATGCATCTGTCCTGTGACCGCCAGACCTCTGTAAGCCATCGAATGGCCTCGCTCTGCCCCACAGCGCCCTCACAGGCGTGCTTGCACATCGCGACACACTCACGGCCGCCGGACGGCACACCTCCCCCTTCTAGGACACCACAGCTTGGTCTTGAAACATCTGCTATGTCGAAACAAGTGATGCAGGCGCGCGCCAAATACTCACACTTTGCGCGTGAAACATCGGAACAGTGCCACCGCTGTGGAGTGACGTCGAAGGTATGAGTCGTGTAAAATATTCAAAGTAGCCAATTAAAATGACGCATGTGCCAAGTGCCATTTGGTTTACACTTTTGCTTTAGTACAGCTGCTGCTACTGCAGACGCCAGCACGTGCAACGCGCGTAACTACGTTCGAAGCATGCTCCTTGGTCCTTGGGCAATAAAAAAAAAAAGAAGGTCTATTGGGACATACAGTTCGTGATCTAGACTCTGCACGTGTCACACGGCATGCGCTGATAAAGCACGCATGCAGTGTGAAATTTGAAGTGCACGTGTGGCAGGGTACACTAGCAAGTGAGGGCCCTCGTGACACGAGCCGTGGTATGTGTCCGAGGTTTTGCCGGAGTTGTCCTTGTCTTTCAAATTAAAATAGAATTAATGTAAAATAAGAAGGAAACAAAATTGTAACCAGAAGAGACAAAAACCTCACATATAATCCGCCACTAAAACGTGCATTTATGTATAGTAAAAACACTGATGCACGAAACTCGGAGGGTCAACGCACTGTCGTTGTTTCTTTCACTGTGCAAAGCTCTAATCTCTATAATCAACACGCTTAAAAAAAAGGCATATTCTTACAACCCCCGTTTTATATACGACACCCCAAAACTTCAGTTCGACGTACGGCGTACTGAAGTCGAACCGACGGTACCAACTTTCACGAGCTGCTTGATAGCCGAGTGGTACACTTTAGTAATATAGCTAAAGTACGTGTTACTGACCATAACAAAATAATCGGGGTTTTCTTGGCTCTACTGCAAAACCTCTGTTTGTTTGTTTTGTTTTATAGTTTCGTGATACGTACTTTAGCTGTTTAATAAGTTGTATCGCACCGTTATCAAGCATGCTGCACCAACGCCCATCTTTTACTTTCTTTATTGTAAGCGCCATCCGCTCTGACTAACAAAGAAGAAGTTAGGTTCTGCTCGTGGCTTGATTGACGTGGTCGCTCTTATCTGCTTACAGGCACAAGCTAGAAGGCTTCTGCCCTCAGATTAGTTTGACGTCATCGACCTAGCCGATCGCCAGAACACCGGTGTCTTCACCGCCTTCTAGGCCCGCTGCTAGTCGTCAAAAGCAAGACCCTACGGTGCAACCATGATTGTGGTCGGCAACGAGACAGCCATCTGCAGAATCTGTTACGAGAGAAGTCCCGTGGCAGGGTCCCTGTCGCGCCCTTGTCGATGTTCAGGAACCATGGCCCACGTTCATCAGTCCTGCCTGGAGCCATGGCTCGAGAAAGTCAGCAGGGACACATGCGACATCTGCAACTACCGCTTCCGGTGGGACGTCCATGGGAGCCTGCTTCCTTGGTCCCACAGCAAGCCTTCCAAGGTGACAATCCTGATAGACGTGATCTTCCTCGTCTTGGGCCTCGTAGCCATGCTGGCCACTACAACGTATCAGATCGTATCGCTGGACCTGGCGAAAAGCTGGAGCGGGATATTCTACTTGACCACTTCTACTGTTTGCCTCATGAGTTACCTGGACATACAGTTCATTGCTGTCCTCAGGAGAGATCTGGCTGCATTTAGAAGCTGGCACAAGCATCCTAGAAAGCTCAGATCATTGCCAGCACAATGACCAACACGTTCGGGGTGGCGTTTTGGATGGCAGTTTGGGGGGCTCGCGGTGATAAAGGGCAAAATTTAACGGTACCAACAGTCGCGCTCACCGTGGCTTGGAGTCTTTGGGCCACAGGTCGAACCTCCGCTGCGGATGTAGAAAAGTAAGGCACTCAGGAAGAAGACGGCGGACAGAAGTTCCGCTCGGCCCACGACGCTGGCCACCTGCACAGAAATAGAGGCGCTCTTGGACTACCTTCAAAATTTATGGTGATATAATTCAATAAACGAAAACTACCCCCGGATGTGGTTCATGGCAACGTTCTCAAACGACATTCACGTTGCACTATGTCTTCAGTAGCCGGAAAATCAAATTTGCTATTCTCGTATTTTTGTTTTTACAATGTAAATGGAGGGTGCTCTTTCCGTTTTCCAAGACCGGATGCGAATGCAATTATGGTTTATAGTACGGGAAAAATCTTCAAATACTGGAACAAACAACAAAAAAGAGCAAATTCTTTAACGCCAAAACTTTTATATTATAATGCTCGTTCTATTGCACTTCGTAGATCCGCTTAAGATTGGAACGAAAACACCTAGTTTTACTGGAAATATATCAGAAGTACTGACCAAAACTACGTAGTGTCAACCTTGGGTTCGTTATTTCTTATAAAAAAATAAGACAAGGGTCTCAGGTGGCACCTCATAACTTACCTGAACAACCCCAGTCGCCGTGGGAAAAAGGCAATCGTCAGCCGACGTTGTACGAACATTTTGCACTTAAATGTCCCTTCAAAAACCATAATTAAAAAAAAGAAAACTTAAGTAACGGCTTTACTTACCGCTTCTGTGTGAATTGGGTGGGTGGAGAAGAGCAAAGCTGCGAGAAGAGACGTCCACCCTGGTAGCAGAGTGAGGCACATCCTGTAAAATAGAAGCACACGCTCTTGTCCTTAAAAAGCCTCCGCGATTTGCTACAAAAAAAATCTGGTCGTAAAAGTACTTTGAGGGGTTCTTCGAATTGGACATATTTCGCCCCCTAAAAAGTTAGTTTAAGCACCCCCTAAAAGGGTTCCTCGTGAATAACCTATAAGGGGTTCTTTTGAGCTCTTTTTTTTATGTGAAAGAGTTCATTATCGCCCAGTTGACTTACTAGTGCGATAGTGCTTAAGGCCAAACCGTTCTTTATGAGTTGATAAAGTTCTTGGGACGTCGAAAAAACACTGTCCAGTCGTATAAGAAAAACCCGACCGCAAAACCGGGCCTCCAAAAGTGAAAAAAAGAAGAAATCAAAACACACTTGCAATTACTAAAAATGACTGAGCAATTCAGTCGTGTTGAAGCGAAACACAATGAAACAGAGCGGACTTCGCCATGCGCCGATGAACGCTCACTCAGCGTGTGTATAGACAGGCTAAACCATAAGCTTCGTTGTCTCCAAACACGGTCGAACACGAAAATATTTGTGCAGTTGGAATTCCGCTATTCTTGTGTTCACTGGGCGCATTAGCCACCTACCTTGTCGTGTTGTCGTTGTCTCTATTTTTGACATGCATTGTTTTTTGTCTTCGTAACGGTGTATCCGCCTACTGCCTTTTTAATAAACCTAATTTACGAACCTCTAAAAAAAAAAAACTTATTTTACTTTTTATGCGCTTCGAGTAAAGAAATGCCCCAGAAAATACGCACACAAAAACAATACCCATATTCCACTCCCTATGCAGTCCCCCCTTGTACACACACACACAAAAAAAGCGTCGATTTAATTGTTAAACGCCTTTCCGCTAAGAGATGGCAGTAATGACATTACTATAATTAAATTACTTTTTGCGGTAATGAGTAATGTAATGCATTGCTTCTCTAGGCTGGTAATTTAGTAATGTAATGAATTACTTTCAGGAAGTAATTTGGAGAAAAACACTCATTACTTTTGAAATTACTTTTGTCCCAAAATAGAAAGTTCGTCTGCAAGCTTTAAATAAAAGAAGAAGAAAAATAATTTGCATGCTCGAATGTTGCGAAAAAGACATCAGAGAAAATACACGACGGCCGCCTGAGTGCAAAGCCTCGTACGATGAACTGAACAGACGCACAAGGGCGGACAGGAAAGGCGAAGGAGATATGCTTCCGTGTAGACATCGCTGGAAGGTCACGGCTCACGAACTCCAGGCGGTACGTTATCACGACGATACTGCACTTCGTTCATTCCTAAACTGAGAGTGCGGTGGGAGCTGCCGAGCTAACAACAAGTAATCAAACACCTCCATTTAATCACCTGACCCGTCCCTCTCTCTGCGCGTGGGTATGAACGAGGGCTTGGTTACGTGGTGAAAAATAGACGTGTGACTGCTCCAAGAGCACGAAGCTTCTACCGCGCTCTCAGCTTATGGATGAACGGCTTGTAGGATCCAATGCGAAGGGCACATCACCAGTGGTCAATACATTTTAAGACTTGAGAAGAAAGGACAAACAGATCCCCAGCCTTCTTGCTCTTTCGTCAAGCAAGGTTTTACCGTAAGCTTCGACCATTGTGAACAATAAACGGCCGGTATAAATAATTAATCCTAAATGCCTCGTCAAGGCCCCAGAACGTTTCGTGCGTCCTCGAGCAAAGCAGGTGCCGCTCGCGGTATGCCTCGCTGCCTTCCCTTGGGAAGTTTATTCAAGAATAAGCCTACTAGCTAATATCGCTACCCGTTCGTTGGCAAAGTACGCGATTTAGGAAGCTCGCGACATTCCTTTCCTCACCTGGCGACTCTTCTGCTTAGCAATTATCCAGCCCCATTTGTGTGACAATGCGCAAAAACTTGGGCTCTTCGGGGGTTGGGGAACAGTACATCTTGAGAGGAATGACCGGGGAATACGTCAGCTAGTGCGCTTGGAACGATAGGATTATACTGCGTCCGAGGCCAAAGGGAAACGTTTCACGTGACGACTCCCTGTAAGAAACGAGCTGCCATTGCCTGGCCTAAAAAGTGACACGGACTATAACTTCGTCTAAATCAGGAAGACGGAAACATATCACCCTTTTAGTAAAGACCTTCGCCTTTGAATGAACCGCAAAACCGGTGAGTGGACTGTCTTTGAGTCACATCTAAAAAAGCTATTCGTCATATTTAACAAATATGCCATGTGCGCCAGCAAAACGACTGTTCAGTATAGTTCTTTGAGGCGCATAAGGCATGCTGCAGTGTAGACAGGAAGGTCTGAGTTTTGGTATATATACGGTAAATCAAATGAGCATGAATTACTGCCTCAAGGTATTCAAAAGTAATGTCATAGTAATTTCATTACTTTTGGAAAGTCTTCGTAATGTCATGTCACTAGTTTTAGTCTGCGGTAATTTGTAATGCAATTTAATTACATTTTTTTAGTTTTCAGGAAAGTAGTTACTAATTTATTTTAATTACTTTTTAAAAGTAATTTTGCCATCTCTCAACTTTCACACGGGGTATGCTTTTCGGGGAGGAATGTGCGTGACCTCTGTGTGCGTGACCTCTGTGTTTTTCTACTACGAGAGTAGAAAAATGGGGGCGTACATGAAACAGCGATACGGGATTAGGGCAGCAGCGCTGTAAGGTGCAGAAGACGACCAACTGTTTCCTGCTAATAAGGAAGATGCTTCTCCAACGGGTGGATGCAACGCAAAGGACGTTGAATCGAAACCAGTTGTACGAGGAGCAGCTTGAGGACGGCATTGATGAATATGATTAGACTCCTTCAGGTGCCTCGGACGACACGCGCAACAGCGCAAGCCGCAACAAGTGTAGCTCATCCCGACGCCACCGCCGGCATCTCGCCGAGCAAAATCTGCAAATGTTGCCAGATATGCGAATAAAATACCGCCAATTGCAAAGCGATCCCACGCCAAGGCGGGGGGGGGGGGGGGGGGGCGTTTCTGCAGCCAGAGAAAAAGCTGCCCCCTCCCCCTGGGATGTCCACGTCAGTGCGGCTAAGCGCAAAAAAGCGTGACGTAGTTACCACGTGATGCGCTTCCCGGGGAGCAAAGGGAGGGATTTATCCCCCGTGTGAATAGCCCTATAGGACAGGAGCGTCTCAGCAGAGTTCGAGAAAAACCTGGCTACCGGACGGAACCAACTGCGGCAACCCGAGGAAGTGTCGTCTCGAAAATCTCAGCCACGCGTCTCTTCTGGGCGTGAACAACAAAACCCGGTGCGTTCTTCGACCCCGACTGATCCTTGAGCACCGAACTCGAAATTCCAGGTACGAAAACGCCAAAGAAGCGCGCTGCGGTTCGTGTTCGGGACCGGCGGACGTCCTTTCCTCCTCGCGTTGTATACGGTAGCCGTGTCGTTCGTCTCTTGGGTTCCCGACGGCGTCGGCGATGGAACGGTTCCCTCTCAGGGCGCTCCCGTAACGCATGCAAGAACCATTAGGCTCAGCACGGACCATCAGTCTCTGTCGAGGTGGATCTCCTGGCGCGGCTGCACTAATGGTTCGCTCCTTGCCAATGTCGTGCTTGGCTCAGGAGCGCGGGAGACTCCCACGATGGTGATGTCCGGAAGCTAGCCAGCGATGCCTTCGCCATCCACGAGTCGGCTCGGAAACGATGCGAATTGCGTCGGTTCCCAGCGGCGCCCCCAAAAAACGGCTCCGAGAGGTACTCGGCGTTCGGCTCGAGCGTTACCGGCTCGTCCATTTCTCTTACGAAATCGATACAGATACGTTTTTAATAAAACGGTGCTGTTCGACATCAGTTCAACATTGGCCAGAAATTTGTTCAACATTCAATGATAGCAAGTGCATCTAATATGTGTTACCACGGATCGCACCCGCACGTTTCCTTTCTCGCAGCAATCCACGTATACAAACCACCTGCTTTCTTCGACTCCCACTGATCCTCGGGCACCGGACTAAAACAAAACTCTAGATACGAAAATACGAATGTTGGTACAAAGATTTCATTTACCGTCTGCACGGCAAATATGCTTCGTTATGCCAACTGACGAGCCAGGTGATCTCGACTGATCAGCAAATTGGCCAACGTCGTAACGATCCGCGTTTCGTTACTTATGTTTCAATACGCAGTCATTTTCGCAAATAGTGACAGAGTGCTTACCTGTGGTAGAGGAGGCATACCAGGGCATGCAGGAGTAGGTTCACGATGTGATAACCGAACGGGTCGATGCCGTGGACGGCGAAGTTGAGTCGGAACGTCAGCACGGTCAGTGGACGGTAAGACTTGTGACTCTGCTCCTGCGTAGACAATAACGCCGAATAAAAAACAAAACAAAATAACAACAACATCAAAGCTGTTTAGAAACAGTATAACGTACACATTTCGCAAGTCATAGTTATTTTTCGTCATCTCCCAATTGTCACAGCGTCGGAGGTTTACACTAATGCCAAGCTCCTGGTGCGTGTTCTTCTCTACCACTACAAAAAGGAGCGCACATTGCAAGCGTTGAAGTGAAATAAGAAAGTGCGGGGAAAAGGCTTGCGGGCACCAGTGACGCCACGGATTGTCTAAAAACAATTTATATTGACGAGAAGGGTAATGTCAGTGTTCTTTTAGACGTAATTGCAGAATTTCGAGGCAAACAAAAAGGCTTCTTTTTGGCTGGGGCGTCTTTGCACGCGATGGATTACCATACCACTGCCGCAGATAAGATAATACGAAAGACACAGAAATACAGAGACTAATCAGAAGGATGACTGGTGCGGAACACCAGGCTGAAGATAGTACCCACTCTCTGTTGGCCAGTCGTCGGGTTTCTAGCCCGTCAAACTCGACTTACGGCTATAAACAAAGCTACACTTTAAAGAAAGAAAAAAGCAGTAGACAGTTCTCTTTCTTACAGAATACGGAGACAGCCAATCACGGCCATCATTAGAAGGATCTCATTCTCAGCGTATGACAAAACTCAGAATACGATGAGACTAAAAAAAACAAAAATGCGATGGGTGCGGGGACAGTAAGCAAGTGAATCATCATGCTCACTGTCGCCTGTGCAGATCGCATTGCTTTGGTCGAGTAGTAGTATGAATTTCATCATTCGCTGGGGTCATTTTATCGTTCGCTCTGGTTGGCTGTCTCCGTGTTCCCTAGACAAGCTAACTCATGGACTTTTTTTTCTTCTTAAGTGTACGGTGCCAGGGACAGGGCGGAGGTTATCGATTCACGTCTGCGCGCCAGGACTTTCTTGTCGATAGTTCTTCAGTCCGTCACGTGTTCCATTAGACCAATCCTGGCAAAGGCTCGTTGGTTCTCCGCATTTCCGGTAATTCGTCGGTTGGTGACCGCGGGCGGTGCTACGAGCTGCAAGTCTACGAGCTGCTCAAGAGGAGGGTGAGATTTCCGCGTGGCGTGGAAGAGTAAAAAACGCATCAGTAACGTAAACATAATTTAAAAAAAAAAAGTTGGCAACGTACGCGGCTTGTTCGAGGCTCCCACGCGGAAGTGGGGGGTTCAATGCCCGTCGTTAGAGCTTTTTTTTTATATTACTTTTACTCGTCCAGCCCTACCTCGGAAGTTATCATGCGTTCTGACATATAATATATAGGAATATACGTTGTATAGGTTGTCTTAGGGCAGAAATCGTTATGACCCGGCACCTTTTACAGTAATTTCATGGTAATATGACGCGCCAAAATGTTTCGCCTTAGCTAGAGAGTGTAAAATTGATTCGGTCCCAATTTCAACAGCACAAAGCGCCGGCGCACACATACGTGACGCGCGACACGATAAAAGAATAGCGCCATTCACGATCTCTTCAGCGCCCTCACTGAATGGATGGTTCCCAAGGAGCGCCAAGCCGCTTATTCAAAGTAAGATCGGCCTCCAGAGTCTGGGTGGACGGAACGCAATCAAAGGCCAGACCATTAATTTGTAACTCCTTAAACGGGCTCCTCGCAACTTGCTTTCTTTTAAACGGCGCGCGGCCACATCAGCGCCTCGAGCGAGCGCGGGGAGCGGCAAACAAGGACCAATCGAAACACGCGGCTCGATGCGAGCCCTGCTTTTGTCTTAACGAGCCGACGCGGGTGAAAGCAGAGCCAAGGGTATACGTCGCAAGTGCACCGACGCACAGGCCCACCGGCGTCGCCGAAGCAAACGCATTAATACGAGGGTCGATGGCAACTCCCCCGCACCCCCATTGCGGATGTAAACAAGGCTCCGGCTTTCTTTGATCATTACGCGGGAACTTTCTCTCCAGCCGGAAAGTCGAAACAACAACAACGTGAACAACAACAACAACAACAACAACCACAACAGCCACGGCAACAACAACAGCGGCAACAGCAACAACGCGACCGGCACAATGGGAAAGGCAGAAGATGGCGAATGAGGCAGCTTTCAAGAAACAAAACGAAGTACGACGTTGCTCCTCGGTATTGGGATGTCCTCCCCACTTTCCCTTCTCTTATGCTTCCTTTCTTCTTCTTTTTTCTTTTCTTTTTCGGAAATCAATGAGGCATTTTGAAAGTAAGGAGGGGGGTGAACAATGTTGAGAAGGGAGCAAAGTGGCCCAAAAGATGGAGAGGTGGGTTTGAAAGAGGGGGGGAGTAAAAGGGGGTGAAGAGAAGGGAGTTTTTCGCAAACCTAGCGAATTGAAACTTCCCCCGAGAGCCCCGAGACGAATCACTAACGACGCAGAATGAGGCACGCGGTATTTTCCTCCCTTGGCAGAGATCCCTCTCCTCGCAGCGCCCTGGTGGGCACTGGAGGTGTTCCTCGTCGACTGTTTCGTTCTCTCTAATGAACGCGTCGAACCGTCCGCGCACGAACGAACCCACCCGTGCCGAGACTGCGCACCCGCCCGAATTTTCAGCGATCCTTTAGAATGTTCGCCATTTATTTCTAATTATTTCTACTTGGTTCGGATGCCTTGTAATGACTGCTTTACCCAGGCAGGGAAAGGCAGGCTCGAACAAAAATGATGCTCGTATATGGCGAGTACCCGAAATCATCATTAGTAGGAGGCAACAGAAGGAGCGAGACGGTTTTTCGAGATCTCATTGAATTCGCTCCACTCAAAAGCTTAAATAAAAAAATGCCTGCCAAGTAGTAAGTTCCTAACTCACGATGGAAGATATATTCGCGAGCCGAGACGCGTGTGCTTAATTCTACGTTGAAACTAAGGGCGTCTTTTATTTTCCCCCAAAAAAGTTCACGAATCGAGTTGAGGTGTACATTCGAACTCACTTAATGCCATGCAATTTTCTAGGGGAGCGTGGAAACGACAGGTGCCTGCAAAAAGAGACGATTCTGATCGTTCCAAATTCTTTGCAGACTTCCGTGGTGTTTTGTTGTGTTGGCGCATTCGTCGCTAGTTATGTGCGACTACAACTACAGTACAGATCAGCAGCTGCAGCCATGCTCACGGAAGGAAACGAGTGCTCGAAATGCGAATTTACCCTTTGGGTCTCTGGGGCTGACTCAACGCTGTTCAACAAAACCTTTCAGGGCGTGGTGAATAAAGCGTAAAGTTCTCGAGTAAATGTATGAAAGTATACGTGCTTGGAAATGCCAATAGATCATTCCAGATAAACGGCACAGAAAATATAATTTTGATAGCCTTTTTTTGTGTTTTTTGCGCGTGCATTTTTTTAATTTTTTTTAGAGCGGCAGGTGTGCGACTGCAAAGGAAGTGATTTCGCACATTTTTTACGTGACTTTGGTGCGAAGTGAAATCACCTACAAAATAAACAAATCGAGGTTGTTGTTTTTTTTTTTGCGCTGGGATGCTGCCGCGCCAATTTTAAAACAAGTTTCACATTAGAGAGTCAATGCGAACAGATTAAAGATAAGTAAGCCGTCGTTGTCAACGATTCAATTTTCAAATCGGCCAAATAAAACTCACTGCTAGTGCTAGGTGCATGACAAAAAAAAAACAAAAAAAAAAAACATTTATTTGCCAAAGGGTGGAACGAACGCCGGACCTCTTCGCTGCTACAGTATCCGATGTCTTGTCCGACATTTCATTACCACCCGGGGACAGCGCTCTCCTTACAGAGAGAACCCAGAAATTCGAGCCCTTCGAAAGAACATCGAGTCTCTAATGTTTCCCCAGGAGCCGAATTGGCCGAAGGAAGTTGATGGCGGCCACTACGGCTCCATTTCCCAGCTGATCCGGTTCAGGGAACGATCCCTTCAAGAGGCGAGAGGCGTGAAACGCGCTTAAGGTACTCGCGTTATTCCCACATATTGCGACTAGGTTTTATTGCCGCAGCTCGCGAGAAAGACAGACAGCGATCAAAGCGATGACGAATGATCAGCGCATTCTTTTTCTGTCCAATTGGTGCGGTGTGCTTTAAGAAGTTCCGGAAGATTCAGGACCGCCCGCTTTTTCCCCTCGGCTTCTAGAGACCAGAAGAAGACGGCGTGCCACATGCACTGGTACCAGAAACGAGAAGAAGCGACGCCCGCAAAGGAAGCAAGCGGCACGGAGGAGAAGACCAAACGTACGAACAGGCTAAGAAAACGGGGCCGATGCGTCTCATTAAAAATGCATAGAGGCGCCTCGCTCCTCCCGCAGAACCGACCCTCTCCGCGAGATGTGCAAGGCAGCGGAGTGATACATCATGCACGAGCGCTGGAATTGAATGTAGTCCGGGCAGCGCGCAGACGCGCGTCGTTGATGCACTTCTAGGTTTTTTTTTTTTTTCTTTTTTTGTTTTGCTGGGGACGCACTTGCTGCGGCATGTCTTCTTCGCGGAGTGCTTCGCTTCTTCGTCTCGCCTTCCTTTCGATGCGTGTTTTTCCCCTCCTGTGTAGGGCGTAACTCAGTTCGACGTTTCCGTTCAAACCGCGAGCACAGAGAAGTATGAAAAGCCATCTACGTGTATATATATTCGCCAGATCCTGCGGGTGCCTCTAATAAAATGCTGGAAGGGAACATTCGGAGTACGAAATGACTATGGTGAGTCGGATTTGATCAGCTGACAGGCTCTAATACATCTACTTGGCGCGCAGACGTAAAGCAGCTGCAAGAAGAGGTAGAACATTCGTTGAATTACTGGGACAGACTCGATATATATGCATTTTGTATTTGGAGAAAGCTAAGGGTTGTTTCGTTAGTTAAAAGAATCTCTGCGAAAAAAAAAAGGAAAGAATTTGTAAGTTACTAAAAGGCTTCAGTGAAATAAAATACATTGATTACGAATGGCTCTACAAAATACGAAAATACTGAAGCGCTAAAACGAGGCAACAAAATGACAGACACTGCGTCAACATTTCGCTTGGAGCTCTTGCTGAGTTTGTTTCGTCTTTCTCGTGTAATACAAACGGACGTTGAGGGGCTCTTAGTAGAAAATTGATGCGCAACTTCAAGCGCTCAAAGAGCCCGGCATTTTATTTTGATTGCTTGCGCTCGATATTTAAGTTATATTCTTAGCCGAATAATGTGTCGACAAATGTGACGCAGATGTGACCAGGGAAGACGCTGAAATGGTAGAGAAAGTTGAGTGTACGCAGGTATATTTTAAATATCGAACTTTAAAATATTAATCAGGTAGTATAATGATTTGGGTTTCTTACATTGCCAACGAACTACTTACCTTACCATCATTTTATTTTGCCTACTGTAAGACATATACAATAATACAACAAATGATCAAACATTTAGTAAGTGGCCCATAGATTCAAGCACAGTACTTATAATGTTCCTTGATTTAAAGGAAAGCTGGAGCGGTTTTGAATTTGAACAAAAACACATGATTATTTTTACTCTGATCTCAAGCATCACGAATATCACGAAAGTAGGCTGTTTCATGCCCGTGTTACCTGATAAGACGCCTCTGAAGTTGGGTTGTAACCACGCCTCTCCGCGGCAGCGGGAGAGGGCAGTAAAAAGAGAAGGAAGGGAGAAATAAAAACATGACGTCACGAAAGGTTACTCGCGCGTGCTCCTCAGGTCGCAGGGCCAGCGTCGTGCGTCGTCGATACTGAGCTAGTATGTGATTCGTGCTTCTGAAAGACGCCAGCTGAACGTAGGAAGATACACGAATAGAGAGAGCGAGAGAGAAAGAAAAGAGGAGCAACACACTGCCGGACTAGCAACAATTTACTGAAGATCTTCTTTCATACCCATAAGTTTCATATCTGCGAACTAATGGGTGTGGAAGAAGAAGAGGTTTACCTTCAGTAGTGTTGTGTTCTGGACACGGCAGAGAAAAAGAACAGGACCAGCCCAGTCAACGTTCCAAATTAGACTGACTTTTATCGAAAAAGAAGAAAATAAAGTACAGATCATATGGTGATGATGATGATTTGTACATATGTTGCTAACACAACGCAGCTATGCAAATCAGAACACAACAAGTAGATGATTGCCACTCCAGCAGTTCCAAGCATCCTTCTACAGAAGAGGCAGGCACCTCAACGAATCCGAGGAGCTTATGCGAAGCGAAACGAGGTATGGATTGCCAGTTGATCCTTGTGGAGAAAGATGCAAATGGAATCGAGCCTGGTGATTGTGCGACGTCACGGCTCGACCAACGAATGGCGTTCGGCGGCGGCGAGCGGCTGCATGTTTTTCAATTTATTTCACGTTTAGTCCCACCCCTACCCGTTTCGATCTGGATGAGCATCGTACCGGCGTGCGGTCGTGTATCAATACTGCGTGGTGCATATTGAAGACTTCAGGCTAGCGGTTGTACTGCACTGGCTAAATTGCTCATCTATAGATGAGAGGCAAGTTGCCCTTTGAGGAAGACCAACTTCAAGCTGTATAAACATACGCACAACAGAATTTTTTGTCTTCATGTTTAGTGTCGTTTTCAGGACAAATGATGGTGATATGAAGATTCTCCATGAAAAACTATGCCATAAAGAAGCATTGACTAATAAAAAAAAATGTTTCAGCTTTTCTTTAACGTACCTCAGTGCTACTACCTGCCTTTTGTTTTGTGTTAGACAGATTTTTTGACACGAATCGTCACTACGTAGCGAGCCATCTCAAACTTACAGTGAGCACGTTGCAATCGAGAAGCCCGGCGCATCGCGAAAAAAACGAAGCAAGACGGCGACCACATAGAGGGAGACCAGAAAAGCAAATGAAAGACACGCGTAGCGCTATTTCGTGATGAACGCGAACGGTAGTATTCACGAGATGTCGGCGTGTGGGCAGGGAAGACTCCGTGTGGGACTACATTCTCCGAGACGTAAAAACGTACTGCCACGCAAGGCACCGACCCAGGAAAACGGACGGAGCGGCCGGAGAAAATGGAACCGAAATCGATGGAAGAAAGAGCGGTGCCGTCACTGCTGCTGCTGCGGCTCCAGCCTTCCCTGCGAAAGAGCTCTCTTCCCGAAACAGACTATAGGGACGGCAAACAAAACCCAAAGAGAGAAGAAGGCGCAGATGCTCCGATGCAACGATAACAAACGAACGCAAGAAAGACACGGAGGAAAGACACGGAGAAAAGAGGAAAGGACCCGTGGAAGGAACAAGGAGAAGATATTGTTCGTGAATTTGCCGTTTTACCGCGGTCCCGGTCGATGGATGCACCCGCGCCAGCGGAATACCGAGGGCCTCCCACGCAGATTCTGACCTTTGCCAGACAGCGCGGCCGACACGAAAAGAAAAAAGGCACAAAGGCACTGAGCGCCGGATGGACACAATTGCGAGTCGCGCTCTTGCCGACGCCAGAAGCGGACTGCTAACGTCACCTTCCGGCTCCCCGTTCATAGTGGAACGCGAGCTGCCTGTCGGACGTTATGCGGCCCTGGGGCGATTCGTTGCGGAACAAACACAGGAATGTGGATCGTTCCCTCTCCTTTCTTCCATATGCCATATAACCGGAAGCGCAATTCGGCTCGCGTTAGACGTGCGTCTTGCGGGGCAGTCGGTGCATTCCTTGCGCGTGTGCGCCCGCGTGCATGGCCAGACGCCGAGTTAATTGGCCCGCGTCATTGGCGCGTGCCTCTCTGCCTATCAAAACACGCGGGTCGTCGGAGCTCTTCGCCTGCACAGTGTCCGAGGGTAGCACCAGTTGTTGATACTAGCGAGTGTTCAGTTAATCGGTATTGACAAAATGACCGTAGATATTTTCTAACTAGGGCGTCGCGCAAAAAAATTGTCTAGTTGCTGTTTTAGATGGGACTGAGGTTCACAGTACAGGGTCATGCCACGCCAAGCGATCCAGGCTTTCTATCGACCATCCCGGTGGGGTCTTGGCAACGTAAAAGTACCTTTGCTGATATATTTTCGCATTACAAGTGTTTTATTTTTTATTTTGACGCATTGATTATCGCAGACTATATATACTGTAAGGGGTACCAGACGCTATTGTTTCCAAATTTTCTTTCGCAAGTCATTTGGTCTCTTTGAAAGTCAAAATAGTTTCCATCGTGGACTTTTAAGTGGTTTCGTAAGAGCTGCGGTCTAAAATGATTATAGTCGCAATTTATATCTAAAGCATCGCAAGCATAAGTCGCAAAACCTTAAAATTATTTGTATTCGCAGCATTAGAAAGAACCGCTCGGGGCCTGTAGTTTGCTATAATCAAAGCGTCGCAAATAATAATAATAAAAAAAAAAAGAATTGCGGCGAGAATGTAGCGAAAAAAAAAAAAAAAAACCAGCATAACACTGCCGAGAAAAAGATAGCACGCTCACACACACGCAAAAACCGTTGCAAAGTCGGCTGGAAACCGACTTTGCAACGGTCGATAAACGGCCTGGGTCGTTTGGCGCGAAATAACCCTCGGGACGTCACGAGGGTCACTCGTGAAGGTCATTGTAAAGGTCGTGACCTTCGTCGTGACCTTCAAGAGCGACCTTCGTGACGTCACTCGTGACCCTAGTGACGCCACTCGTGACCCTCGTGACGTGACGTGTGACGTCAGGGGAAACTTCCCGTAATGCAACGCGCGGTTACGCCGACGGCGACAGCGTCGCCGCTCAAGCCGGAAACGGGCGCCTAAGAGCTGCGCTCTAAAACACGACTCTTAGAGTGTCTGCAGACTGTCGTTTGTATAAGGAGTATTCACTGGGCGCCATATTTGTGGGTGCTGTCTAGAGCGCATGCTCAGTACGAGCCCACATTAATAGGCTGCTAAGACCGGCAATCTTGAGGGTGTGGAATGCATGTTACAAAAGAACCGTGGAAGCTCGCCATCAGCACGCGCTCAGCAGTCGCGCACACAGCTATGGCCGCCAGTGAATACTTCCTATAGGAGTGCGACCGCGGCCCAAGAGTGACCAAACCGACAGTGCTCCAAACTGAGTCGCGCATGGAGAAGCTGACGTGGATGGAGGTGCCATTACGAGCGGTGTCGTGACCGAGCGGTTGTCCGCGACTTGGAGCACGGCAGGGAGCCGAGCCAGGGCAGGACTTCATCAGGAGGCAGGAATCGGGAAGGATCAGGGAGCAGGAGGGGTGTCTCGTAAAACTCTGTTTATTTACATATTGACAGGTTTAACTTGAGAGCACACTCTGACAGCCTCCTGCTGCTCCTTTTATGGCGTCGCATTTCTCCCATATCCCCAGCAGGAAGGTCACGACGAAGGTCAAGACCTTCAAAGTGACCTTCACGAGTGACATTCGTAACGTCATACGTGACCCTCGGGACGTAACGAGGGAGGAGGGAGGGGAGGAGGAAGGAAGGAGGAGGAGAGGGTACGGAGAAACTTGAGCACACCCTCCTCTCCGTACCCTCCCCGCCTCCTCCTCTTCAAGAGCTGCGCTCTAATTCGGGATTACAGGGAATTCTAAACATCTTCCTTTATTTTTTACTTGTATGGCAGTGCTGTGCCATTGGTCACACCAAAACTGTCCTTAGACATGTTCGAAGCACACTCATGTGTGATGCAAACATGTTTCGGACATGCGTGAGGCTGGTCCGAAGACAATTATGACATCATGCCTGCAGAGAACACCGCGCCTTTTGTATGACGTATGAGCAGTGTGATTATGGCTGTACTCATTATCATAAAAATTAAAATCATCCTGGTCTTGATTAGCTCGTTTAAAGTCGTCAAGGCCGTTGAAAGGAGTCCTTACTTTTCTTAACGGCGTGCCCCAGAAGTCGTTGAAGAAGAGGTTGACCATGGGAGTGCCCGGCCGAAGGTCTCGGTTCCCCTTGATGGCCGCCAAGTCGTCGTAGACGAGGCCGGCGCCCAGCGAAGACGCGTACGCCGTGCAGGCGGCGGCGGCCACTAGCACGACCTCGGCGGCCCGGTGCGCTGGACAGTGTCCGGGCCCCTGTCCGGGGCCCTGGCCAGGGCCGGAGCCCGCGCGCTCCTGCCAGGGCGCCCAACTCCGGCCTCGCCCGCGGGACGGAGATCCGCGCTTGGACGAAGGCTGCAGCATTCTGGTTTCCTGGGGGAAAAAGGAAAGGAGAGAGAGAGAAAAAAAAGAAAAAGTATGCTTGCTTATGTTCTTAAAGAGGCCGTGCAACGAAATCCGCTTGGAATGTTTCTCAATTTACACATGCCTTACTGGCACTATACTTTGTCTCCACCCTACGACGGACTAAACGCAAAAGCTACCGACCGCCAGATCCAATCACGAGCCACTTAGAAATTGCGTGGTATTGCGCTTCGATGCCCGTATCGGCGCCCGCGTCTCGGAACGCTGATGGGGATGGGCAGACAGTGGTTTGAATCTAATAGCTGTGAGTGATTCAACAATTTTGCATAAAACAACAAAAAAAAGCCACGACACACAGGCTTTTTTTAGTGTCGAAGCTACACTCTAGAAAAAGCCCGTGCGTCTACTTTCCCGCACAACGTTCGGAGAGGCAATCAGCGCAACTTACAGGGGCAGCGCAGCGAATGACGATGCTGAAACATACATTTAGACCAAAAACGCAGACTGAGTTGTGACATTAACCAATGCAAGTAAGATCATCGCCATTCGCTGAACTGCCTCCGTAATTGCGATTATTGGCTCTCCAAGTCTTGCGCGGGAAAGTAGACGCACGGTTTTTTTTTTTTTTAGAGTGTATAGAAATCTTGCACCGCTTTTGGGTTCGGAGCATTATTCGTCCTCCCCTAGTCAATGCTAATTATGTCATAGATTAGCGTGGAACGTGATTAGACCTCTCGGCCCGTGGCTTTGGCCTTTAGCCCATCGTAGGATGAGAGAAACGATAGTGGGACCCAAGTACATACGCACACAACGCCACTGATGAAGACACTCTTTTGTTGCGGCGCCATTTCAAGGACAAAAGCGAGCGTTTTTTTTCAATCTCGCCTTCGCAAAACTTGATAAAGAGTTTTAGAATAGGAGGCCCCAAAGCTTGGGGATACCCCCAAAAAATAGGGGCTCACCACTGCGCATGCGCCGAACCCAAACTCCGATTTTGGGTTTTTTGTTGGCGCTCGCCCCCAACGCAGAATTCGAAAAAATAGCGTGGGGCCCCTATTTGCTTGGGGCCGGGTTGCGTCGGCAAACATGGCGGCGTCCTTTCCGCTCGCTTCGGAGCAAATTCGTCATGGTCGCTCCAGTATTAGCCAATTTCATTACCAATGAATGGTGCAACCGACTTTCACTTTGCTTTATCTCGCCCAAGTCACAAAGAATAAGGTTGTGGGCTCTCCCCATTTTAAAGATCGTCCCTGATTCTGGCCGCTCCTAAGCCTAAAGAGACGCAGTAACCGTTGACGTGGCAACGTATCGCCATTCCGTGGTTCCGAGTGGACTTCGTTCGTGACACGGTACCAGCTAGCTTAAAACAATTATTACAAGGCTTCAAAATCGCTCCACCTAAGATCTAAATAGAGCAGCTGCTCGCAGAGTATGCTCACTCGCGTTCGTCTCAGTTTCGGCAGAGTTGAAGGCCTAAGTCTTCGGCGACAGACGGTCAAAGCGCGCACGAACTAACGAGCTTGAGTATTATTTTAGAGCGGTAAACCGGAACCCACGGCCTGCAGCGGAAATGCCCCCCCCCCCCCCCCCCCCCCCCCCCGGTTGCCGTTATCTTGCCTGTTTGCAGCATTAGTGATCACGTGACGTTAAGATGGCTGCGTCCAAAGGTGGGCCAGATCAGATTGGCCAGATCACGGTCAGCAGATGGGCCATCTGGGGTTGTGTTCCAATCTTTATTCGCGTCCAGCGGAATTTACTCTCTCTCACGCTTGGATAAAGGTCTTCTACCCGTTGCGTTCGGAAACCTACCCGCGTCCAGCATTGCTGTATCTGTCTTGTTACATGACTTGATCCGCCGGAATAACTCTGATCCATTGAGTAAGACTCGAACACAACCACAGAGGGCCCATCTGCTGGCCGTGATCTGGCAAATCTGAACTGCCCCACCTCTGGGCGCAGCCATCTTTACGTCACGTAATCACTAATGTGGCAAACAGGCAACATGGCGGCAACCGGGGGGGGGGGGGGGGGGTGCCACTTTGGGCCGCTGGTTTATCGCTCTAAGTTTACTCGAGCTCGTTGACACGAACGCGCAAAAAATCCGAGAAAGAGCGCCAAATTAAAGCGCTAAGGATTGGATTGTTTTGGCTGAATACAGCCAACAACATATATACTGATTTTAGATTGTCTCTTGTTTTAGCCGGCTTGATTGGGATTTATCTTAACTATTATTCGTAAACGAAGAGTACTTGCTAAGCGCACATGTTTTACGTTCTTTTTTAATCTTTTTTTCTTTTTTGATTATTACGCTCGTTAGCCGCATTGGCGCTGTAAGCCGGAGGCGTCAGAGCCGTTTATACTGAGAGAGTTTGGCCAATGGGCGGAGCTTCTTGCCTGCTAGAACCAGCGGATTGCGCGATAACACAAAATGGAGTTACTTCTTTTTCTTCTTTATTCCTGAGAAATCGCATAGAGTTCCTATGAGTCAGAGCCCCAAAATGGCGGACGGAAGTAGTCATCCCCCGGTTGTCAGACTACGCTGCTCTGGTTGCCAGGCTGTTAAAATTTTCTTAAGAAGGCCAAACTCTCCGAGTATGAACGACTCTGGAGGCGTAAGCGCGCTGCGCTGCTGTTGCGAAACCCCTATTCTATAAGCCGTCACGCCAACCTTGTTGCGTTTGGGTCACCGCAATCTCTTAGGAAAACCCAAACATTGGGGCCCATTATTCTCAAACTCTCTAATGACGTAGCTGGCGGATCGCAGTATCCTCAAGTGACCATATATCTAAATGCGGCTCATAGATTGGACCAGAGCATTGCGTGAGCACTCGATTTGGGTTCGTGATAATCAATAGCACGACAAGCATTCGGGAAGTGGCCTGTGTCCAATCGCTGCAAGGACGACAATAGCTGAACCATAACAATGTCTGGAACTCAGCGCGTGTTATGTGCTTCGCCAACCCCAACGCGTGGCTATGGTCAACATTGGCGGCGTAGAATCGACTCCAGATCACGTGGCCTCTTGTTCTGGCTACAAGTTGAGGGGTGAACGCTGCACGTTTTTCTTTTATTTTTTTCAGCGACTTCTATTGCGCGTGGTGAAAAACGAACAGGCGTTTCATAGGTCCTTAACGTCAGAAATTTGTTCTAGGTGGTAGCTGCTAAAAGTACAAAAAAAAAAATGTTACATCAGCCCCTTAATGATATACTATAAATAAAGCTGGGGGGATCGGTGGCCGAGTGGGCTAGCGCACACCAGCTCGGAGCACATGAAGCGAAAGCTCGCGCTGCAGAACCTAGGGACCCTGCGTTCGGCCCGTTTCGATCTGGATGAACATCGCACCGGCGTGCGGTTGTGTATCAATCACTACTGCATGATGCACGTTAAAGACTTCAGGCTAGCGGTTGTACTGCACTGCTTAAATTTCGCATCTACAGCTGGGAGATTTGTCGCCCCTTGAGGCAGACCAAGTTCTAGGCTGTAAAAACATACACACAACCCATTTTTTTTTTTTTTAGAGAAAGCTATATTTTGTGATTTCTTCCGTCCTTGAAACTGTTCGTTTCAGTTTTTCCTGTTTCAAATTCCATTTGCAGGGCCACGAAACCGTAAGATCGTGTGCGTCCGTCCGTACCGGCTCGATGGATAAGTCTAGAGGGAAATCCTGAATTGGTGTATTATTATAGTTACACTTGAGTTAATGAAGCAAACAGTTGGTTCAAAATTATACACAAATTCAATCTCTCCGCCAAATATAACGGAAAGCGTTTTCCCTCAAATATAAAGGGAAAACCTAAATTGTTTGTATAATTTTGCACCAATTCAATTTAGGAAGAATTGGCGCGTAAACGACCTTGGTCTAAAACAGATCGAGAGCACTGACCTCGAAGGACGTCTGAAGATGTGAAAAGGAACCGAAATGAGCATCACGTCTCCTTTGGCAGCAGTCAGAGATAAGGCCGTAGATTTCTATTCTCTCTTTCCCAAGGCATTATTTGTTAATAGACGTATTCATTATCTTGCGATTGTATATTGCTGTTAAACTACAGTTGTGGGCAACCTAAACTAGAAAAAAACGAACGAGTTTGCGCTGCGTGTTCGTACTACTGTCTAATGAAAATAGGTATCTCATGGGATAGTTCTACTAGGCGAACGAAGAGCCAAATGCTCGCCAACATAACGATGGTAGCTTTTCTACGACCCGCGCCATCTTTAATATGCACCTCTTGTTCGCAGACGAACTCTTCTGTCGCTGGTTGGCAACGCCCAAACGTATACTAAATGCTGCGACAAGATGTCTGGCATGTCTGAGATTTGTGTTCAGCGAACGTTTGTACGGTGGAGCTACTTGTGGAACTTAAAGTGGAAAACCTTTAAGGAGCTACGAGAATTCTTTTCTCTTCGAGCTTTTATCTGTCCTTACTTGGCTCCCAGTTTATAAAATATACGCGTAATTACCAGCTCTTTGCAACACATCGGACAACGTGAAAGTCTGACGCACTAGAAATGTGTTCCCTTTCCCTTAAAACACCTTGATGGGTTTGTGTTTGTCTTGTAAGTAGTGTCAAATGCACCAAAGCATGAAACCCGTGCCCCCAGTAGCCTTAGGAAGTGAATGGCGGCACATCTCTGTAATGAACGGCCCTTGGAAGCAAATGGCGGCTCAGCACCTGCTGGAGGCATGTGTTTTGCGCGTTCGCACAACAATGGTTGTCGGTACTTGGACGATATGTCGAGCGTGGATTTTATTAGTGGGCATTATAATGATGAGTCGGTTTGTTTGTTTGTTTTCCGCCGTCATAGTTGCTTCAGTAGTTGCTTGCGTTACGCAATCACATGAAACGAAAAGACGTTTGTTCAGAAGGGAAAGGAATCAGCTGCAACAGTAAATTTGTTTGCTTTTTCTGTATTTATTTTCTGCTGCTTTATTTATCTCTTGCCGTCTAGTGACGCCATTTCTAGCCTGGTGGGGACAGGAAAAGAAGAGAGGGTAAAATCC